ATCTGGGCGTGGTGGTACGTGTCTGTAGTCCCACCTACTCAGGTGGCTGAGGCAGGAAGCTGATTTAAGCCCAAGAGTTTGAGATGCCGTGAGCTACGATGTTGCCACTGCACTGTGGCCGGGGCAACAGAGCAAGACTCTGTCTAAAAAAAAAAAAAAAAAAAAAGGGTAAATAAATAATGATTAAAAATTGCACAGCGTATAGCATGAGAAGTAAGTATGAGGCACCTAAAATACAGAGCCTTTATTTAGAATATGAGAGAGGAACTAAAAATCTTTTAAGACTTTATTTTTTGACGCTGGTTACTGTTTATATTAAATAACATGAAAAATTTAAACTGTGTTTCTTATTAGGTGACATTATCTTAGAGCCCATTGTTACTCTTATGCCATATTATACCTATAAAATTTAGGATTATCAAGAAGATAAGATTATTTCATTTTCTTCAAAAGATTTATAGGCTTTTCCCATTTTAAAAATTCATGTATTGAGAATATGTGTTCGCAGTCCTGATATTTTACTGTGTGGACTTGTCTTAGTTTTCCCAATTATTCTCATTTATCTTAACTTTCTTGTCTTTTCTGTCTACAATATGATTTTTTGCCATCGTCTTTCTTTCCTGCTGTTACAGAATTGCTGTACATCTTCAAGCTTGAGTATCAGCACATTGGAAAAGGAACATCTTTTAACTTTTTTAACGTTTCTTTTAATAGAAATTGTAAGTGAGCTTCAATGTGTTTAATTTTCATATTAGTATTTGTTTGTTGTTCCAGATCCAGTATAACACATTGTCATCACAAATATAATATTTTTTGAAGTGTGGCTTCAAGCCAAATATTAGGCATTTTTAATACATTTAAGGGAAATTATTATAGCATTAATCTTCAGTAGGCTTTTAAAAACACCTTTGCACATACTATAAATTATCTGTGGTGATTAAGTTACTTCTGTGGAGCAGAGAGTATAATTTGAAGAGCCCATAAAATGTTGCTGTATTCTATCTCCTACATCAAGTAAAAGACAAAAATAGCACTGTTTCTCATTAAAGAGAGAGTTTAAACTAAGAAATGCAGTAGTTTTATATTATTAGCTATAATTTTACATTTTTAATACAAACCATTCAGGTCTTCAACTCTTTTTAAAACCATACGGTCACTTTGCAGCTAAAGTTATTTTTCTTTAACATTGTGATGTCATGTTTATTTAAGACAACAGTTGTCATGTGAAAGTTTCAATTTTAATGATATTCAGAAAATAGCAAACATGACTTAACTAAATTCTTATCCTAAAGTAAGCTTATCTTTTCCAGATTATTGCCTGCAAACAATTGGTTTCCCTTCAGAATATAATGTTGATCAGCAAAGGGAGGGCATATTCAAGAGAGGGAAAATGTTATATTTGTAAAAAATGTACTACTTTACTTACAATAATAGAGTATATGGGAAGATAAATTTCATGTCACAAGTGTGTGTGTGTAAGTGTAAATTTTAAAAAGCAGGAGTTAGTCCATAGCTTGGCTTACATGTGGCATATTTAGTGTGTTTTCCATTGTGCTACAGTCTATTTAGAGGATTGTACATGTATGTAGGACTTGGTAGTCATGATTAAGAGGTAGGTAGGTTGTGTTTTACAATTCACAGTAGTAAAAAGAAAGTTTTTGAAAAAGTAGGCCAGACACAGTGACTCAAGCCTGTAATCCTAGCACTTTGAGAGCTAAGGTGGTAGAATCACTTTGAGACCACGAGTTTGAGGCCAGCCTGGGCAACATAGTGAGACCCTGTCTCACAGAATTATTTTAAAAAAATTAATGGGTGTGATGGTACATACCTATAGTCCCAGCTACTTGGGAGGCTACGGTGGAAGGATGACTTAAGCTCAGGAGGTTACAGTGATCTGTGATTACACCACTGCACTACTGAGCAGCAGAACAACAACTTGTCTCTTATAAAACACTTAGGAAAAGTATTTCTACTTCTATAGATTCCAGCGATAATTGAGAATCAGTTTTTATTTTAATGCTTAATGATTCTTCAAATATGCCTTCAAATATTGGTTTTAGTATGATGTCTAATATTCCATTACACTTAATACCATAATAATTTTTCATTACTGCTAATAAGATTTCAAATTTTTCTGTTGCATTTGTTAGATTATTGAATAGACTTAGAAAGAAAATGAAGAATTAAATTTGCTGTTAAAAGATGCTTAACAAAGTAGAACAAAGACTGATTTCTGGTTATGAAATCTACTTTCTTCTTTTGGCATCTCTTACAAAACTAGGATTAGAGCAGGGAAGTTCCATCTTTTCGTAAACTGGGCATTGGGCCACATAGAGACTAAAGTTTAGCTGTAGTATGCAAATGATAATAATTATTATATAATCTAGGATTCTCCATTTGAACAATAACTTTCATATTGTCTCCTGCTTTACTTCCTATCTATGTCTCCCAGTTCATGTGTACAGGAAGATTATGACTTCACGTTATCTATAACAACAAAACTTTCTGTTAAGCCTTTATTATGTTTCACATTAGCTGTCATATAATGAAATTATTTACAAGATAATATTTAATAAAGTCAAATTTTATGGTATACACTACTATAATAAGGGTGCAGGGAAAGACCAACAAAAGCTGTGATGGTACATACCTATAGTCCCAGCTACTTGGGAGGCTATGGTGGGAGGATGACTTAAGCTCAGGAGGTTACAGTGATCTGTGATTACACCACTGCACTACTGAGCAGCAGAACAACAACTTGTCTCTTATAAAACACTTAGGAAAAGTGGAGAGGAGATGTAACTGGTTTGAAGGAAAATGTAGAATTAAGATAGGCTAAGGTGATGTTAGAAGACAAGAACTTGGGGGTGGGGGCAGTATTTTCAACTTTCTGAAGAATAATAGTAGGACAGATTTGACAAAATATGGCAGAAATAACCTCGGTGAACATTGGTACTGTACGGAAACTATTGGTACTATATGTTTTGACTGGAAAATTGAGATTTATATTGTGGATAAGATTGGATAGAAAAAATAGGATCAGATCATGAGGCACATGCAAAGTTAAGTGCAAAATTTTAGTTAACCTTGATCAAAAGAGTGTTGAAGTACCACTTGTGGTTTTTGAGCAAAGGGCGATATAATAAATGTGATAATTTTGGAAAATTAATTTAGTTGTAATATTCAAATGTGATCAAAGGCAAATGGAGCTTGGAGATAGAAAAAACAAGTAGAAATCTATTACAGTAATTCTTGAGAATGAAAGCTGTAATTAGAACAAAGTCAATAGAGAGAAAGAGATTAACCTGAGGAATACTTTAAAGGAGGATTTTTTGGGAAGAAAAACAGACTTTTTGCCGCCTTATTTTACAAATTGAAGAGAAATTGTTAAGATCTGGTTGGAGCATTTTAAAAACAAACTAAATCGGTGATGTCATACAATTGGGAAAGTTATAAAAGGAAGCTTTTTTGTAAGAAAGAATAATATTTATTTTCTTTCACGTTGAATTTAACTGGTGGTTGAACATCCAATTGGCAGTTTTTCATTTATTAGGGAGTTTATTTGTAGTTACTTCACTGTTGGGGGAAAATCCTTAGGTAACGCTGAGCTTTTCCATTATAATCATTTTAGAAAATTTAGACTACCTGGCATATTGCATAATCCAGAAGTGGAGTTATTTAAGCATTACTAAGAAGTTAGGGATTACTATAAATTAGAACTAATAACTAAGATTCTACCTATTTCCATTAAGTTTTACCATTTCATTGCCTAGCATTCTATTAAGGATAACATAGCATAGGTAAGTGATAGTTCCCGGAGTTACTAACACTCAAATAACCACAGTAAACTTAATATTTAATAATTATATACCAGTCTAGGCCGGGCGCTGTGGCTCACGCCTGTAATCCTAGCTCTCTGGGAGGCCGAGGCGGGTGGATTGTTTGAGTTCAGAAGTTCAAGACCAGCCTGAGCAAGAGTGAGACCCCGTCTCTACTAAAAAAAAAAAAAAAAAAAAAAGTTAATTGGCCAACTGAAAAATGGAAAAAAAAAAATAAAGGAATAATTATATACCAGTCTAGTCCATTAATATTGACATTAGTGAATATAAGATCATAATGTTTGACCTTGGATATGCCTATTTTGTTTTACTTTATATTGATTATAAAACATTTTGTCTTTTCAAATTTTTTTTACATTCTTAAAACTACATTTACTTTCAAAATACATGGTTGGAAATGATTCTGCTATTTCTGAAGTTCAAAGGTAAAGAATATTCCACAATACTGCAGAAGCTTTTGTGTTTTGTATATTTTGAATTATCCAGGCAGCAGCTGAAATTCTCCCCTTGAATTTGTGGCCTGTGACTGTTGACTTTTCATATCATTATGAGAAATTCAGAGAGCTTATGGGTAAATTAAAGATTTCAAATTTGGGAAAAGTAAAAAAAAAAAACATTTTGAGAGAAATTATGGTTGATTTACTATTGATGACAAATTTGTGCTAATGTGGCAGGAAAATATCCATGGAAACACCAGGTAAAGTTAATTGTTTGTTGCACCCTCATAAAAATCATTTGTACTTATTCCTTTGTTAACTTTTTTAAAACAGTGAATTAAATTGAAAAGCACCTGTTTTATTCTTTACACTGATAAACATTAACCTTAAACACCAGCATTTTTCTGTTTCAATGGTACCTTCTGTGTCTATGAGCTTATGGAACTTTGGTTGAGTAACAGAAGCCTGCCTCCCCACCTCCCTCACCATCCCCCTTTCTGTTTAAAATATACAGCAGAGATACATATATCTCTCTACAGAAATTGTGAATGTTTTAAATATTTAAACTCTTACTTTGTTTTGGGGGGTGGTGTGGAAAATTGAAGACATCTTTAATTATCTGATATTTTAATAGCCTGTTTTGTTAATAAATTGGTTTTAAAGGGTGCTGGCAAGTCAGGCGGTAGCCATTAAATGAACCTCTACTGCTGACGTTAATTTACAGGGGTCAACAGGACAAAACTCTACGACATGATAGCTGATCTGGGAGATGATGAGCTGCCCCACATCTCTTCAGGAATCATTAATCAGTCTAGGTCAGCCTCTACTAGAATGACTGATCATGAAGGTGCAAGAGCAGAGGAAGGTACAAAAATTTAGCTACCGTGTTTATTTACATTGCAGAAGGCCTTAACTCCAAATCACATTTTAATATTGCAAATTTGATGCTGTTTAAAATGTTGAGGATCATTTTATATGATCTTCAGAGAAGGTGTTGGGCAAGCTCTTATTGTCTTAGGGATTTTGAAATTTGGGGCTTCTATTTCTTTATATTTTGTTTTTGTTTTTAATGTTAGGTGGAGTTGTTTCTATCATAGGTCAATTCAGAATACCTTTCCTAAATCTACCTTTAACTTACAGATGTAGTAACAGGAAAATAGTAATTTATAAAAATAAACTCTAAATACATATAGAAAAAACTATTTACTCACTTTTGTCATATTGTCTAAATTTAGCCACTAGTAATAACTAGCACTTACTAGGAGACAACACGTCAGTCACTGTGCTTAGAACATTACATATATTCTAAAAATATGTGACTGTTGCCTAATTTAATCATTTTAGAGTAAGGCAACATCATTCTTTTTTAACTTGGTAGCAAGTACCTCCTAATGAATTTTCTAAAATTTGCCCAAATCACAAATGTGTAGGAAATGAATGTACTACTTAAGCATTTTTTCCAAAGTTGTTTTTAGCTGAAGATACACTTGAATAGTTTATTCTAGTTCTAGTTTGTTATAATTCCAAGTAGTGAATCTCATTTTTAACCAAATATTATTGTAATGTATACCATATAAGAAGAGTTTATTATCTAATAATTTGGCATAAAGATTCAATTTCATTGATGTTTCTGCCTTTGCTGTGTAAGGGGATTAATGTCCTAGTCAAAAAATTTTAAATACCCTTTAAGATTTCTCTAGTAGCACATTCTCCTTACAGTTAAAGTTAAATAATTTTATATTCCCTCACCTTAATTTACCTTACCTTTACTGCTCACCTTAATCTGTAAGAAAATTTGAGAAAAGATTTTAAAAATTACTAAAATAATAAAACGAAAGTAAAATGAATGAAAAGTAAAACAGTGTCTATTAATTTTTGTGCATCTCATGTCTCCTATTGAGCTTTTTTCAAGTTTAACTTGAAAAGTATTTTCTAAAATATACATACCAGCTTCATTATTTTTCATTTTATGCATTTAGTAGCAATTTAGTTTCTTTAGCTTTTGGTCCATTTTATCAAATAATGCATGGTACAACTTGGTGAAATTTTTATAATTAATGTACATTTAAACTGCACATTTTACAGTTTAAGGCAAAGCCATCCAGTATGGACTCTTTTAAATGTTTCAAACCAAGGATTTATGGAAAAGGCCAGTCAAGGCCCAGTCTTACACAAAAACCAATTTAGAGCTCTGTGTGTGTATTTATGTGTATGTGTGTGGTTTAAAGAAAAAATGTGAAGAAAATGTAATAATCTCTTTCTTAATGGTAGGAGGAGAATGGGCCAGAGAGGTATGGGGAGATTTGATAAGTGTGAACTTCATTTTACTTTTTCAAAGGGTAAATCTTACTAGAATTTGTTATTTGAAGAGATTTGAATTCGGCTTCAAGCTAAGAAGAAAAAACATTGGAGTTCATAATCTCCTATTTTCAGTGGCAACCCCCAACATCATACTTTCCTTTTGAAGTCCATGTTATACCTCATTTTATAAATAATAAATGTCTGTTTTCTAGGAGAGTTACTTCTACATTACAGACTTCTAGACTATTGTTAATAAAGACTTAAGATACAGCATGTTGCCTCTGGCATAAATAGAATGAGTTACTGGACTCTATACCCTTTAGGTTTGATAAAATTGGAGGAGAAAGGAGAAGTTTGATATGTGAGCTTACAGTTCCTTAGTCATAGTGCCCATAAAAAGGAAGGTTAGTTATAGAAGTATGAAATGAACCTTGTTATAAGATCCCATTTCATAGACCCATGATACTAGTATTCTTAGATTGCTTGATGAAATCTCTTTGGCTATATGATAAAAAGTATTATAATTTTCATCATTAAATTAAAAACTTCTTTTAATAATTATATTTTTCTTTGAATTGCTAATGACATTTTTATGTTTATGTAACTATGTGCTATAGAGAATTACATAAATGTTAATAAAATGAACTTATAGAATAGAAGTTAATTCCCTTTGCAGAGAACCAAGGGTATATTGAGTACCTACTGTGATTAACATAAGCCACAGTGATCAGTGATAGGAAAAGCAGAACTAATAGCTTAAAAGCTTTTTTACACATATGTATGTAAATAAGTTTTGAGTAAACACGATAGCTTGCTATATGTAGATGTTTGTGTATAGATAAAGGATAGAAATGTAGTCATATGATTAATTAGAAATGAGTATACCAATTTTTTGTTAAATACAGTCAATCTAAAACTGCAGGAAAATTAGCTAATATTGTCCAGATACTTCCCTTCACATGCCCCTAAATTGGTCGGTGGCTGATCAGAAGTATTCCTGCAAAAAGATGATGTAAAAATACAAAACAATTTGTTATGTTAAAGTTACTTTATTGGACTTTTATTAAAATTTGTGTTAGTGAACCTTTGTATCATTGCAAGTGGGAAGAATTAGTGGCATTTTGTTCTAAGTTAGAAACAAATTATGAGCTTAAAGAAAAAATATTTCTTTGTCCTGATGAAAAATGCTTTGATTAATTATCATCTAATGACTTTAAATAATTGTTCTTAAACATAATTGTAAAATATTGATTTTATTGTTCTTAGTTGCTTCTGATGTTACCAAAAACTGCACACTAGATATTGGGAGGAAAGATCAGTGCTATAGATTGTTCAGATTCTATGAGTATAATCATTTAGAGATTAATTAAATACTGCTATTCAGTATCCCTATGTACATATTTTCTTTCATATGCTTTCAGATTTACTCTAGATCAGTTGTTGAATTACAACTTCACTTTAGGATCCTAAGTCAAAAATTATATAGTTTACTTGATGTAGGATAAAATAATAAAAATGAGATACTTGAAATAAAGATGAGTTTTACTTTTGTCATAGTATATATAAATTATACTCAATTATTTTCAATAGTTTTAGTGATGACTGTCAAGTTTTATTATACTTGTTGTGTTTGCTGTAGCATATTAAATTTATATCATTTTTTCATAGGAACTTTTCAAAATTGCTAATTAGGTTGAGGTTTTGGTATGTTTCTTTTTAAAATTTGTTCATGAATTTTAAGTATGTTTTGTTATGTTGAGTTGTTTTGCATTATAATGACTTGAGTATGTCTCTCTTGCATCTTAATGTTAAAATTTTGCTGTCAAAGCATGCTTCTGAAATGTATTAAGGATTATTGCTTATGCTATGGCTGTTACAGCAAAATCTTTAGAGTGTAGTCAGTCATTCAATTATGGCAGAGTTTAATTGGGGAATAGTATGTGTAGAGAAAAAATATTTTAAGTAATTTAATTGGAACTGCTGATATTAACCTGGAAAACTATAATAACACACATAATATAGATGAGAAAAGTAAAAAAACTTTACCTGAGTGTAGTTTTAAATTGAAAGTAATTCTGGTCAGAAACTTAAAGTTCTGTAGGTAGTTGCTCCATTAGTTGCTCTAATATAGATTAGTTGCTCCATTTTAGAAGTGTCAAAGTAAATAAATGGGGACATTAAAATACAAATTACAGTCAGAGCTTTAAACCTAGAAGGCATTCTGAAGATTGCATGGATTAACCTTTTACATAAAGGAAACTGATATTGGTGGTAAAACTGCTTTTTTTTCCTAAACCATTGCTGTTACTGAAGGCGTCTAAAAATTAAGGCTTCTTTTCAGTGAACTCATACAATATAGCAGACTATTTGAAAACCATTTATATTTGAATATTTATATTATTTTTTACCAGACACTAGAATGCCTAACACTTCTTTAGAAAACAAAAAGACTTAGCAACAACCTATTATATTTTTAAAATGCTGTGTGAGCTACTCTGAGGTCAACAGTTAGAGGTTTTCCCCCAGGAATAGCTGAAATCTTTATACATAACTCCATTATTTAATCAGAATTTGTCCTGTTTCTTAACATGTAAACTATAGTTATAATTGCACTGAAATGATAAAAGATTTAAATACACAAAGCTTTTGTGCCCCACCACCTACCCCAGAATAATATATGTAGTACACATTTGATTTATGGAAGATTACTACATTGTAGTTATAACACATTTGTTTAGTACTGTTCAGTAGTAGGATTTTTTGAGTAGAAGTGGGAAAATAAAAATTAATTATATTACTGAATATTATAACTGTTAAGTGCTTAAATTTCCCCCACAATATTGTCTTGTACTGTATGATTTTTCAGCATTTAAGAAGCGGTTTTGTTCTTTATAGCTGAACCAATAACGTTTCCATCTGGAGGAGGCAAGTCATTTATTATGGGTTCTGATGATGTTTTGTTAAGTGTACTGGGCCTTGGAGACCTTGCAGACTTGACGGTAACAAATGATGCAGACTATAGTTATGATGTAAGTGCAGTTTTATTTTTAATTTTTTAATGATTTAATAGAAGGCTCCTTATTTTTTGGAATCACTTATAAAACAGAATTAATGTCAAGGTGCATGGAAAAGATAAGTTTAAGTGTGCCATTGTGTTGATTTGAAGTGACATGTAGTTTTTCTTTTATAACTACTTTCTTTGTGGTGTTTAAATTTTTCTTAGGTATTTTGGTGGAGTAGCTAGACGTTTGGGATGATTACCTTAACATATGGGTCAATAAATATGTCTCGAGTAGTCAACTCTCAATTATCTCAAATGAAGTCATATTTTGGTGTTAATAAGAAAAAAAAAATAGATAACCTGAATCATTTACTTGTCTTTAGAATACTTCTTAAAAAGCATGTTTTATTTTTGAACTTTTATTTTCTTAATGGTATTGTTAAAGTTAGCTTGCATCATTTCCTGAATACTTAACACCTTCATTTGAGGAATGGGGAAAGGATGGAAGGGATGGGAGGGCCAATGTTGGAGGTGAAACGTGTCTTGGATTTAATTTTTTCTAGACATTTAACACTCAATTGAGAGTTAACTATATTTGTTTATATTTTTATAATAATTGCAGTTTTTCAGCAAGTTAAAATTTTTTTTATAATGAATTTCTTTTTCTACATTTTTTACTTATGTTGCATGCTTTTTAGAGACAGCCGTTGGTGGGCTGGATTATTCTCATTAATATTTTTTAAAGTATTTAAGCAACTAAATTCTAGTAAACTTTTGACTGCTTTAAAGTGGTTTTACAGCGTATCTTTACAGATGGAGAAATGAAGGTAAAAATATTAACTTTAATCAGTATCAAGAATTACGAACATGGGATGAAAACAATCTTAAAGGATCTTTAGTTCAGACTTTAAGAAAGCACCTTAACTTGCTGCCTTTAAAATTTCACATGATAAATTTTCTTGGATGACAACTGTACTGTTAATACCCTTTGGTATTTGCTAATAATTTTATTTAAGTTCTTTTTGTTTTCATGTAGAGTATTGCAGCAGTGGTAGTTATTTTGTTCTCATTTGACATTTAATAGGAGCTTTAGGTTTAGCTTGATAATTAGGTAAAATCAGATTAAGGAACTCTATGATCTAGGTATTTGTAAGGTTAATGAAGTTATTTTTCTGAGTTATTAAATAATAAAGATTCGTTATAAAGTTTTTAAGGTACATTAAATTTCCACTGGACATTTTAGCAAAATAGTTTTAAATATATGTGTTAAACGCACCAAAAAGAAGCAAACTAAAACTCCACATACCTACCACTTTATTATTTTTACCACTAAATATTGCATTCTTTCTTTTTAGTTGCCTGCCAATAAAGATGCCTTTCGAAAGACATGGAACCCCAAGTATACGCTACGTAGCCATTTTGATGGAGTACGGGCATTAGCTTTTCATCCTGTAGAACCTGTGCTGGTTACTGCCTCTGAGGACCATACCCTGAAACTTTGGAATTTACAAAAAACAGTTCCTGCCAAAAAGCAAGTATATTAATGTTAACCTAGTTTTTTTGTTCCAATTTTGCTAATATAAGTTATTATTCCTCTTTATTGTCACATATCTTTTATGTACACAATTGATGTAGCTACTCTTTAATATCAACCGGTGATTTATGATTATTTTCTTCTCTTTCCCCACCCTTTCACCCCCTCTTTTAGGAGTGCCTCTTTAGATGTAGAGCCCATCTACACATTTAGGGCCCACATGTAAGTTTTATTGAATTGGTATTTAATTTTATTGAATTGGTACTTAACAACCATAATTATTAACTGTTATTAATCCTCAAACCTTATAATTTTCTCAGTGATTATTTTATATTAGAAAAGACATATTAGTTAAATAATATGTTTAATAATTAGTAATAATATGAATATAATAGATTTTTCAAATGTATACACATGTTCTCCTAGAACAGATTTTTAGATGTCACATAAATTCGGCCACAGAGGAATGGGGATTTGAGTTTCTTAAGATTTGTAAGTAATTTTTTTTTCTTCTCTTCCTATAATAGTGGTCCTGTTCTGTCGTTAGCTATTAGTTCTAATGGAGAACAGTGTTTTAGTGGTGGTATTGATGCAACCATCCAGTGGTGGAATATGCCTAGTCCTAATGTGGATCCATATGATACATATGGTAAGTGAAAGGATCAAAGGATGTATTTTGGGGGTTAATGGAGCTGACAAAATTAAATACCTCAAATATTATTATAAGATTGTTTAAACATATACTAGTTTTCTCATTTAGTTCTTCCATTTGCTAGTAATGTGTTTTGTTAAAGAGAAAAATTAGGAAATGTACATACTATGAGTCTTAAACTTGTTCTCTGCTGGGCGCGGTGGCTCACGCCTGTAATCCTAGCACTCTGGGAGGCTGAGGCGGGTGGATTGCGCGAGGTCAGGAGTTCGAAACCAACCTGAGCAAGAGCGAGACCCCGTCTCTACTATAAATAGAAAGAAATTAATTGGCTAACTAATATATATAGAAAAAATGAGCCGGGCATGGTGGCGCATGCCTGTAGTCCCAGCTACTTGGGAGGCTGAGGCAGGAGGATTGCTTGAGCCCAGGAGTTTTGAGGTTGCTGCGAGCTAGGCTGACGCCATGGCACTCACTCTAGCCTGGGCAACAAAGCGAGACTCTGTCTCAAAAAAAAAAAAACTTGTTCTCTGTTGTCCAAAAAAGTATATTAGTCTATATTAATTGAATTGTTAATTAATTTCAGTACTAAAAGGAGAAGAAAACAAAATATTATCTAATAACAAATTTTTAAACTTAAACAGCTTATTATATAGTTTAAAAATATTACGCAGAAAACAGTGGAAACAAAGAGGGACAGTAAGGGTGTAAATCATCTTTTGGAGACCAAAAAATTCTTTAATTTCAAAACAGGAAAAAAAAACCCTTTGACTTACAAATAAAGTTTTTAGAAATCTGTCCTATAGAATTACCTACCTGTGTGTGTTCAGATAAATTTATGAGGGCATTGTCCCTGATTTTTAAAAAAGTATGTTTATGAGCTCTGAGTTTTTTTTATTTAACACATACTTGGTGCCTGTGTTTGTCACTCATAGTGTTTACTACTATGTCAAAAAACAAAGTTTAGTCTGATGGAAAAAATAGACCTTAAATAAGGAGATGGGGATCGATGGTTACAACTTGTGATAAATGGTAAGATCAGATTCTTTGAAAGAGAGTGATAGGCAGAACCCTTTGGATAAGTAGTCAGGAAAAGTCTATCTAAAATAGTGACATCTAAGCCAAAATCTGAAGAATAAAAAGGAGCTATCAGTAACGAGTTTTAAGCCAATAAGTGACCTAATGAATGCAAGGTTTAGAAAGATGACTGTGACTGTTGTGAGGATACATTGGGTTGGGAAGAGTGGAAACAGAAATGCCAATTGGGAGGCTGCTGTAATGTAGTAATCCAGTAGACTAGGTGATAGATGATGTTGCCAAGGTAAGAGTGGTGGTACCAGAGCAGTTAGAGAGAAGTGGTTTTAAGATAGATTAGGGAAGTATGGTAGAATAGACAGGATTTATTGATAAATTATATTGAGTAGATAAAAGTGATAGGTGAGTAATGCTTGATTTGGTTATGTATTTTTAATAGCTTTATTGAGATATAACTTACCATAAAATTCACCCTTCTAAAGTATATGGTTCAATAGGTTTTACTATGTTCATAAGGTTGTGCAACCAACCATCACCACTATCTAATTTCAGAACATTTTCATCACGAATCCTGGGTTTTTGACATGACAGCTGAGTATGTGATGGTAGCATTTATTGAAATGAGGGCAGAACGGGTGTGAGGAGATTTAAGATGGTGAGTTGAATTTTAGGCATGTTCAGAGATGGCAGTATCAGGTAGGTAATATACAAATATGGAGCTCAAAGAGATCTGGGTTGGAGATAAAAGTATGAAGACTCTTCTCTATACCAATGATACTTTAAGCTGTGATAATGGATGTTAAAACATAGGGAGAGTATGTTGTGTAGGGTAAGAAGAGAAGACAATCTGGGACAAAAGTCCTCAGTAACTCTGACATTAGAAGGGTGGCTACAGCAAGAGAGCCAACAAAGGGACACTGAGAAGAAGTTGTGCCCCCCAAGAGATAGGGAAAAGTGTAGACGAGTATGGAATCATAGAAGCATACCAAAGAAGAAACCATTTTGAGAAGGAAGCAGTCTATATTTTCACATGTTGCCGAGAGGTCTAATAATAGGATAGAAAGGTTCCTTTTGGTAAGATGGATGGCAAATACCTGGGTCTTGGCCAGATAGAGATTAGACACTGGGGCTAAGACAAGAGGACGAAGGGACCTCTGGATAACCTTATAACAGATAAGTCAGACTGTATGGATCAAAAGCAATATGATTTGAACAACCATCAAAAAAAAAAGTTTGTATCATTAAAATATTGCATTTGATGTAATAGAAGTCATTATTGGTGATCTTAGCAAGGGTTGTTTTGGTGTGGTAATGAAAACCATATTGGATTGATTTGAAGAGGAAACAAGGTAAAAAGCGTGTTTACTCAATATGCTTTTCTACTGCTTGGCAGAAGGGCGGTGGGGTAGGTTTAATGAAGATTTTTTTGTTGTTGTTGTTCATGTTCAAGATTCTGGGACATATATATATGAAAACAATAAACATGAAAGCAAGTTAGTGAGTTGAATGGAATTCACAATACATCTCATGGAATTAGCCTTTGATTTCTATAGAAGGACAAATTCCTTACTTGTATCTGGAAGCTAGGAGAAGATGGCTTTAATGATTTATAAATTGAATGGCAAGAAGATGGGGGAGGGGTTCCTATTTGAATGCTGTATTTTCTCACTGAAGTATAAGGCGTAATCATTCGTAAGGAAGGGAAGTTAGAAACAGAATAGTGGAGAGGCTAAGAAATATTCAAGGGAAGTGGGAGGTGTTTACTAGAAAAGCAAGATTGTCAGACAAATGGTGCTCAATGTTGTTAGCTATCACATGTTCATCAGTTGATAAATGGACAAATAAAATGTGGTATATCAATATAATGGACTATTATTTGGCACTAAAAAGAAATGGAGTGCTGATGAATGCTACAACATGGATAAACGTTGAAAATGTCATGCTAAGTGAAGGAAGCCAGTCACAAAAGGCCACTTACTGTATGATTTCATTTATATAAAAATTTCAGAATATCCTGAATCAAGGATCAGAGACAAAAATAAAAAATGTTCAGAATAAGCCTATCTATAAAGACAGAATAGATTAGTGAGTGTTTGCCTGGAGCTGTGGAAAGGTGGGGAGGAAGAATTGGGGGGAAAGTGGCTAATGAGTGATGAAAGTATCCTGAAATTGATTGTGGTAATGGTTGCACAACTCTGCAAACATACTAAAAACCATTGAGTTGTACACTTTAAATGAGTGAATTGTATAGTGTGTAAATTATATTAATATCTATATCTCAATAAAGTTTTTTTAAAAAGTATCTGTTCCTTATAGAAAACTATATGAAAATACAGAAAAGTATTAGATGAAAGGGAAGGATAAAAATAGGTCCAGCAATTAGTAGTAGCCACTGTGTCCATTTTGGTTTATCTTCTTGTGGCCTTTATGTGCATTTTTTATACTTAATATATGGTAATTTATCTTTATGTACTAAAGCATTTCATTTCCTTTAGCTAATTTTTTGTTTGTTTGTTTCTTCCCAGAGCCAAATGTTCTAGCTGGCACTTTAGTTGCTCATACAGATGCAGTCTGGGGTCTTGCTTATAGTGGCATAAAAAATCAATTACTGTCTTGTTCAGCAGATGGCACTGTTAGGTTATGGAATCCACAAGAAAAGTTGCCCTGTATTTGCACTTATAATGGAGACAAAAGTAAGTAAATTTTGCTTCTATAAGAAACACTAATTTTTTTTTAATTTGGAAGATAAAAAGGACAAAGTAATTGATTTCTTTAGTGCTCCAAAGAGATATATTGAAAGAATTTTACTAAACTTGTGATACTCTTTATTCCTAGAAATTTTTTATTTGTAGTGCTTTGCAGCTATATTCTGTAGCTTGGCACTTTTTGACCTTTTCATGTTCCATTTTAAAAATACAACAATTTGTATATAACAGTGGGGGGAGACAAATAAGGGAACTCAGGGACAACAGAAGGCACTCTACCTGCTCCAGGTGGCTACTCACAAAGACTGAAAGGATTACAGTCTCAAGCATACTTGCAAACCAGGTATGGTTTTTCTGAGCAGACTGGTTGGGTAATCCAGCCATAATCACCCTTATCTGGGAAGTATGGATTCGGTTACTTTCATTATTTCAGATATTTTCCTATCAAAGAAGGCTTTAACCAGCTTACCTTTTTAAGATAATATGTGTGTGTCTTTGTGTGTAGCTGTATATAATCTTATTATTCTTATTTTCCAAGTCATTTATTTTTAATCAGACCTTTTATTAGTATTAAAAATATATATTGTTTTCATATATTTTAGTTGAGTAGTAAATGCTTAATTTTGTGTCTTTTTTGGACACCTTAGTCATTCTGCTAATTTTTCAATTACCCAAATTTTAGATGTAAAAATTAATTTAGATACTTGTTTCTTGCTTCATCCAGATAATTAATTGCTTGGCTCTAGGCTTCATCTAATTGTGCATTTATCTGGCTGTTTGAATTTAATCTAATACATTAAAGAGGAGAAATTTCTGCTCAGGCCACTTTACCATAGGTAGTACTACATCAGGGGATTCTAGAGTCCAAGCTTCATTTTCATAGATCTAAAAATTTGATTTACATTAGCTACTTGATAAAACTTGCAGGTCTCTGATAGGTTAACAGTTTCCTAAGATAATGATGTGAGAATCCTAATTTATCACCTTATAGTAAGAAGTATAATTGGCAAGTAGGCTAAAAGACTGACCTAGGATTTTTTTCTCTCTTAGAAAATACAGAGAACAAACAACTTTTGCATGTATCTACTCTTACTTTAAGACTTCTCTAGTTATATTTTTCTTATAACATTAAGTAAAATGTTACAAATAAAACCTTTTTAAATAATTAAAGAGAATTTGTTTCTTATCTCACCGTCCTGACACAATTGTGTCCTTTTTCATTGTTAACATTATTTTAAGAACATTTGCATTTCTTTTTCTTATTAGAAAAGGGAAGATTTCAGAATTACTGTGTTTACACTGTTATCTCTTTGGACTCCTTACAGAGCATGGAATACCTACATCGGTTGACTTTATAGGCTGTGATCCAGCTCATATGGTGACCTCTTTCAACACTGGGAGTGCAGTAATTTATGATTTAGAAACATCACAGTCATTGGTGATGCTTTCATCACAGATAGATTCTGGTAAGTTTTCATGAATTCCTTTGAAATCTTAAAAAGGATTATTATATAACACAAGTTGATCTTTTAGCTAATTTTGTATTTTGACTGTTTATATTTAGGATGGCAAAATAATTAGTTTCATTATGTTACAGTTGTACTTGTTTACATTATTTCTGTTATTTCCTTAAATTATGTGTAAAAGCTTGTTGGTAGGCGTATGGGGAAAGAGGAGTGAGTAGAACAGTGTGAAGGTGAAAGCAAAGGAAATAATTTAAAACTTTTTATGGGAATTCTTGTGAAAGTAGAGAAAATAATATAATGAACCTGATGTACTCTTCATTCAGCTTCAGTAATTATCTGTAAATGCCCAGGACTATAAATGTTGATATGTGGTATATGTTTTATAGTTTACTTAAATTGGGATCCAAATAAGATCCGTGACTTATGATTGATTAATAGGTCTCTTAGATCTCTTTTCATCCATAGATTCTCCCTCCATCTCTTTTATTTTCCTTGCTTTTTATTTTGATGGAAGAAATTGGCTAGTTTGTCTTAAGTTTCCCATAGTCTGGATTTTGCTGCTTGCATCCTTGTGGTGTCATTTAATGTGCTCCTCTATTTCCTGTGAATTGATTATAGATCTAGAGGCCTATTCAAATTCAGGTGCAACATTTTTCTTCTTTTTTAAATGTCTAAATGTTTTTGGCAAGACTATTTCATAGGTAATTTGTGAATTTTTAACAGAAGTAAATATTGTCTGGTTGCTTATCTTTTTGTGATTTTTTTTTTTTTTTCCTTTTTGAGACAGAGTCTTTTCTCTGTTACCTCAGGTAGAGTGTAGTGGCCTCATCTTAGCTCACTGCAACCCCTGACTCCTGGGCTCAGGTGATCCTCCTGCCTCAACCTCCTTACTAGCTGGTACTATAGGTGTGCGCCACTGTGCTTAGCCATAATGTTTTCAGTCTTGATCAATGTCTGGTTCTATTAATTCATTTACTGTTGAATAATGATTTTCTAATTCTATTGGTCCTCCTCCATTTATGAGCTAGAATATTTCTGTAAAAAGGACCATCCTCATCAACAATTTGATTACCTTGGAGTTAGTGTTTGTTAAGGAACGGCAAGGTAAATGACTGATTTTCCCCCCTTTATTTACCAGTTTTCAAAATAATGAAGTGGTTCACTAGTATATCCTCCAAAGATAACTAGCGAGTCTTTTGAGTGTTTTTGGTATCATCATAATCTCTCGTGGAAATAAATGTATTTCAGTTTATTATAGGTATTATCTTTATTTCTGCTCACATTATCTCATTTTGGTCAGTGGGGCTTATTCAGGTTGGCTCCTGAGTCCTTTTGATATGACCATGGTACTTGTTGATAGTTTTCATGCTTTATGATATAACGAGATGCTCTGGGTTCATCTTGTTTATTTTGTGCCCCAGATCTGAAATCAGCTGTTTCTCTAAGGAATTGCGGTTTCTTTTAGTGTGGAATGGCATTTAGATACTACAATCTGGAAGCTAGGGTATTGGGTTGCTCCTCATGGTCTTCATGGCTCCTGGGTCATTGATTATTTTTCAGTGGACAGAGCTAGGAAATAATGCATTTTTTAAAGTAAAATATTTCAAATTCAGATTTATCCTGGTTCTCAAAAAAAATCATCATTGTTTCTTATTTGATTTATCCTACAGTATACACACAGTCATTTCAGTAATAAAATCACCAGCAAAAGTTGAATTATTGATAATTGTTTATACTAAGGGTATATTCTACTAGGGATATATAATCCTAATGACTATGCTTTAAAGTCCCTCAGAGTAGTTCGTTTCTTTGTGTTTATGCCACCAATTGGATATATAGTTAAGTTCATTTGTTTAATTTTACTTTTCATTTTTTTAGTGATTTCTTTTTAAAAAACAATTGTTTTGTAATTATATAAAATATTTTCACAGTACCATGGTCAAATCTCAAACCAAAATTATCTTCAAAGTACCTTTCTTAGTGTTTCCTCAACCCTATTCTTTCTTCCCCCATAGGTTATAAATAAATATCCTTTTTATGTGTTTAAGCTTAGTATATGAGAGTTTTTGTAACATAAAGGATGATTAGGCTACAGCAGCCAGAAGGAGGGCTTGAGGACTGGGACTCAGAGCAGGTGTGGCCGAAGCAGGCTGGGCTTGGGAATGAGGGCCAACACCCTGGGGCATGGGGCCCAGAAGGAAACCTGCAGAGGAGCTAGATCCTGACTGCAGGGCTCTCTGACTACAGAGGCCTGGAGGGGACATATTATAAAGGGTAGCTGAACCAGGCTCCTCCCCCTGTTAAAGCCCCAGGTTGCTATAGGTCCCTGAGACAGCTGCCTGTGCGGCTTGCTCCCACCCTTTCCACTTCCTCCTACTTTCAAACCTTTACATTTTCAAAGATCCTCAGCCTGGGTCCCTGGAAAATACTCCTTTCCCAGCTTCCTGTGTCTTCTGTGTGCTTGTATTAGTATTAGCTGACTATGTGAATCCATCGTATGGGTGGATAAACTGAGGCTCTGAGTTAACTCTGTCCCGAGAAGAGTCAAGAATTTGTCTATCCTCTCAGACCCTGAGATTGGAGAAGGAAGGTCTCTGCTAGTCTAGGGTCAGAGAAGAAATTTGAGTTGTCTAGTGAAAGATTTAAGTGGGGTGAGGGGCATGGGAATGTGTGGGAATTTTGGAGGCAACAAATTGGGTTTAGTTTTAGCTGGATTAGGGGAGAAGACAGACAGGATGGGGAGTTCATTTAGTTTTGAGTTTGCCTGTCTCAGAGTAGTCCCTGCTTGGGACCTAAGGGTTTCTCTAGCTAGAAGGGTACCTGTCCTAAGAATTTGGCTGCTTTTGATATAGTGCTTTTGGACTAGGTTAGGGAGTACAGCACAGTTTTAAATTCTCCCTCTTCTCCTTGGTGCATACTCAACTTCACTCCACACTAATCCCTGCCCTGCCTAGCCTGACTACCTTTGAAGAAGGGGATACCTTTCCAAAGATGAAGTCTCAAGCTGCTGGCCAGCTATTTTTTTTTTGAGCCACTCACTTTTTTATTGCCTCTAAGCCTGGGTTCTACATTTCACCATGTAGTAGACACAAAGACAGTTCGAAAGGTTTCAAGTAGCGCACAGTCTTGTGTGGGAGATGGTCACAGAAATAGATTATATCACTCATACTTGGGAAGTAGTTCCTTTGCAAGTGAAGGTATTTTGGATTGAGGCCTTAAGATTAGGAAAATGTCATTTGTATGGGAGGCATGGTGATTTCTGGTCTTAAATTCTCCAAACATCCAATGAACATATACATTTCCTATGTCCTTGCTTCATGCCCAGTACCTCACTTTACCTACCTGTTAAAGAGGAGACAACAATAACCCTGCCTACTGGGAGAGCTGTGGCCTAGTGGGAAATTGTCCCTTAAAGCATACTATGGGCTGGGCGAGGTGGCTCATGCCTATAATCCTAGCAACCTGGGAGGCTGAGGTGGGAGGATCATTTGAGGTCAGGAGTTCGAGACCAGCCTGAGCCAGAGTGAGACCCCGTCTTTACTAAAAAAATAGAAAGAAATTAGCTGGACAACGAAAAATATATAGAGAAAAAATTAGCCAGGCATGGTGGCGCATGCCTATAGTCCCAGCTAATTGGGAGGCTGAGACAGAAGGATTGCTTGAGCCCAGGAGTTTGAGGTTGCTGTGAGGTAGGCTGACGCCACGGCACTCTAGCCCGGGCAACAGAGTGAGACTCTGTCTCACACACACACAAAGTATAATGTGGATTTCTGCAGGCAATGAGTCAAGAAGCCTTATGAGAAAGCCTTATGAGCTTTTAGCAGGAAGGGAGAGCTGGGCTTTGCTTCTCTCCTGAATCTCCACTTTTCGCTTGATGGGCTCTCCCTTCTGTTCCTAACCCCCAGAGAAAGTGCTTAGTCAGTGCTGGGTGATTTGAGGCCCCATGTAGCAAAGGCCCATTCACCATCCAAAAGTCCCTCTTTGGCCCATTCACCATCCAAAAGTCCCTCTTTTAGCTCTTGGAAAGGCCCATTTCCCACTCTCATCTTTACCCATTTATTATAATAAAAATAGATGGGTCACACATGACAGATTTCCAAGGGTTTTTACAGTTATCTCATTTGCCTCTTGCCAGACATCTGTCATAAGCTATGGGTTATGTCTATTCAAAGATAAGGGAAAAGTTCAGAGAGGCTCCGTGATTTAGCCAAGCTGAGAAGTGCCATAGCTGACGTGTTTAAGAAAAAATTTTAAAAAATGGAAAAAAAAAGAATGATTGATCTAAACAAAGTCTGTTAATGCCGATGATCTTTTTCCCCTTTGTTTTGATCTTTCCCTGTTTGCCCTCATCTCTGATTTAATCAAAAATTAAGGACTTGCTAGTAAAGAAAAAATCTCATCTTTAAAGAGTATTAATTATAGTTCTTTGCTGTTTTGTTTTTGTCAGTGTGGGTAGGATGGGGGGTTGTTCCTTGCAAACATCTAATTAGCACTTATGAATTTTTTCTTCTTTAAATGCTTATAGTTTTTATGAGCTGTTAGAAATAATTATTGTGAGTCTTAAAATTCTAAACTACGTATATTAAGTATCTGCATTAAAACACTTCTAATTTTTTCTAAATTTGAGCCTACTACCATACATATTATGGGCCATGATAAATTGTGTATTTTTATAAAAAATATATCTCCCAAGAACCTTTGGTTCTGAAACATTTTGTTTTATGCAAAAGCTTATAGTTGTTTTGTTTGAGACAGAGTCTCGATTTGTTGCCCAGGCTAGAGTGAGTGCCATGGCGTCAGCCTGGCTCACAGCAATCTCAAACTCCTGGGCTCAAGCAATCCTGCCTCACCCTCCCGAGTAGCTGGGACTACAGGCATGTGCCACCATGCCTGGCTAATTTTTTCTATATATATATTAGTTGGCCAATTAATTTCTTTCTATTTATAGTAGAGACGGGGTCTCACTCTTGCTCAGGTTGGTTTCGAACTCCTGACCTCTAGCAATCCTCCCACCTCGGTCTCCCAGAGTGCTAGGATTACAGGCGTAAGCCACCGCACCCGGCCAAGCTTACAGTTTTTAATCATTCTTATATTTTAGCCAGACTAAAAAGGCCATCATCCAATTTCTAATTGAAGGTTTGAATTTTAATGTATTGTTTGTCTTTATTTTTCAGGTTTACAATCCAATACTCACATTAACAGAGTAGTAAGTCACCCCACGCTTCCTGTTACAGTAACTGCTCATGAAGATAGACACATCAAATTTTTTGATAATAAAACGGGTAAGCAAATTGTTTTCTTTTCATATTAACAATACTGTAAATTTGATATGATCAAAATGCTATTTTATATAGGTATGTTGAGTTTTTGGCTATGATATTGCCAAGTTAAACCATTTTAACTCAGATTTTTGCTTTTCTTAATGTAGCACACTTAATGTACATTAAGTTTTATCCTTAACTATACATAATCCCTTGCTTACCTATTATAATTTCTTCATGTCATGTTAAATATAAAGCCTCCCTTTTGTAATTTTTTCCTTCATATTCTGTTATGAATAAATAAAGCAGAAGAGGTCTCTCTGGTGTTTAGCATTTCAAATATTTTCTTAAAACTATTTTTCAGTGGATCAAATGATAGTATAGTTTATATATGATGACATTGTTTATTGTTATCATCCCGGTATTTCTTGTTGTAAGGAAATGTATCTGTTTTGTTGAAGTCAAATCAAATTTTAATTTAGCCATAGGTTGTGCTATTTTGTTTTTGGAAGTCCTTCTCTTTATCTGTCATTATGTAGACTACTATATAAAATAATTGCTTGCTCTCTTTCAGGAAAGGTCTGACCCCTAGAAAGGTTACTTTGAGAAGAAGCTAAGAGAGTCAGGGTTTTGAAGTATTAAAGGGTTTCCAAATAAGAAACTTAAATGTTAATCACTTACATGGCAACAAATTGTCAAGTAAGACAGCAAACTAGAATTATAGGTTTCTCTTTGAAGGTTATCTAGGACATGGCAATGAGTTTTAGTTTTTAGAGTCTTACATTAAGATACTTTTGTTCAAATAACACTTTCATAGACAGATTCCTTTTAACTCAATAGAACAAATTGGGAACAGAATGAATATTCACAGGTCTACCTATTGCACAAGAAATAAGATTCACATTCATGTGGATGTTCTCAACACCTTATCAAATCAATCCTTTGAACCATTTTTATGAAGCCTAAATGTCTTCCTCTGCTTCAAGAACAGAGAGGTAATTTCCTTTGTGTTTCTAAAAAGATTCTTTTTATTAATTATTGAAGATTTACATTTGTAGGGAGAGGTTCATAAATTTTAGTAGTTGTAAATTACAGTAGCTCACACCTGTAATCCTAGTACTCTGGGGCCAAGGTGGGAGGATTGCTTGAACTCAGGAGTTCAAGACTGGCCTGAGGAAGAACAAGACCCCGTCTCTTCAAAAAATAGAAAACTTAGTTAGGCATGGTGGTGTACGCCTATAATCCCAGCTGCTAAGGTGGTTGAGGCAGGAGGATGGCTTGAGTCCAGGAGTTGGAGGTTGCGGTAAGCCACAATGACAGCACTGTACTCTATCCTGGGCAGCAGAGAGAGACTCTGTCTCCAAAAAAAAAAAATGCAGAGTCTTCAGAGCTATTTTACTAGCAGAAATCAAGAAAGTGGTCAGTAAAATTTTACCCAATAACAGAAATAAGGAGCATATAGTCCTTCAGATTGTTTCTAAATTCTACCAATTCTTTCTGTTAACTAGTCTAATACCATTAATGTGAAGATCATTGAAGCAATAGGCTCCAAACAATGGAAAGATTCTTTCTAAATTGATATCTTGGTCTCTGCTCTCTCTGACTCATACATACACCTTACTGAGTTACATTAAACTATGAATCGTCTTCAGATAAGGCATTTTCAAAGAAATCCTTCTTTGAAAATTGGTAATTCACTTAAATGCAGTAAATTTAGACTACCTCCATAACTGTTATTGCTGGTTATCAGAGTTATTAATAGAGTATTGTTTTATAAAAGGAATAGTAGCTTTATTGGATTTGTTGAATCTGAAACATGGAAATCGATACTGTGAACCGGTTCAGTAAATATTTAAATGAGTAAATCATTTTGATAACAAAAACATTTAGCATTTTGTGTTCTGTGCTGGATACTATCATGTGTAAGATGTGGTTCTTGCTACAGTATGTGGAGCTAACAGATGCATATGTGCATGTGTGTATGTATATGTAAGTATGTATATACACACAAAAGATGAGCCCTACTAGATAGAACAGTTGTGTTATCTGTAGCGTGGGTGGTTGAGCTTTGTTTAAGGAATGGTAAGTTTTTTTGTTTTTAAGTGAAGAAGAAGGTAGTAGGAAATTCCAGATTAGAGGATATTTTGAGCAGAGACATAGTGATAGGAATAGAAGTTTCTTACAGGGAAAGCCAAAGATAAGTTTGGAGAAAGAAACTAGAATCTACTGAGGAAGACTTTTTAGAGCCAGGTTAAGAATATTGGGTTTTTGTTTATGATATATTCTCTGGGAACCACTAAAAATAGTTGAACAGAGGTTTGCAAATTGGTTTAGAAAGACTAATCAAGTCACGCTTCTCACTATATGGTATATCTTTGACTTTAAGGGCTTTATAATTTTCAATTTCTACTCTTTATTCCAGAGAGATCTTCAGGGCCCATTGTTTTTAAAATTTTTGGTAGAAGAACAAATTTGAGCTGCCTGTACTATTCCGGAAAGACTTAGGTAGTGAGTGACTATAGGAGAAGGTGTGGTGCAAGTGAGGGATGTGCAGGAGTGAGAGAAGTTCTTGAATCAGTTGTGGACAGATTCATCCAGCAAAATTTATTACGTGTCTACCATATACTTGGCACAGTTCTTGATACTTGGTGAACAAAAACAAAATGTCCTGTCTTCTTGGAGCTTACAGACCAGCGATATATTGCTTACTCTTTGTGAGACATTGTTTTATTTGATTCATATGTTAACTCATTTGGTCCTTAACTCTATAAGGTAGATACAGTGCTGTATTATCCCCATTTTACACATGAAGTTAAAAGGCTTAAAGAATTTAAGTGAATTGTACAGCGTTATACAACAGATAAAAGTTGCTGGGTTGGGATTCAGACTCACACAGTTTACTTCCATAGTTCACCTTTTTTTTTAAACATCAGTCTTTATTTCCTTTCCATTTCATAGAAGCCTACAATATCAATTGGCCAGTAAAAGGACTTAAGGTACCGGGGAGAGGAAATTGAGTGACTGTGTGTTTCTACTCTTTATTCCCTTAGTTATAGGAGGAAAAAATTAGTCTTGCTGGGGAAGATGTTAGTAGAGCCGTGGGGCCAAAATGAAATTGGTTAAATGGGAGAAGCTGCAGGTATCTATTGGTGAAGGAGGGGTACTAGTTATTGGGAGGGATCAGCAGCTGTGTGATTTATGTGATCACCAGTGGAAGGCCCAACATCCAACTTAGTCCAGCATTGTACATCTTTATTCCTGGTCCATCTGAAGGGATTACTCACGTTTTTGAAGTGATTTTGTAATTATGTGGAGAAAAAGGGTTGACTCTGAATTGACTTAAGATATCAGGCTGAAGATTAGTACACAGGCAAAGGGGCTGGAGTTAAACTTAGAAAATTATATCACCCTTAAAGAAATGTATAGATCTGGTGTTGGATAAAAGAAGTCTTTTGGTTTAAGACTTGTTGATTTTAGGAGATAATACAGTTATTCTTGGGAGAGAAGTCAGAACCAGATCTGTGAATCTGGTTAATTAAGTAATTAAGACAGAAATTAAGACTTACTGTCATAAATTTGACATTTTCAGGGTAAAAAGTGAATGATGCTTGGTACTTAACTCCTCGTATTTTGAAATTATTGTCTTAGAGGGCAACCATTTTATACACTGGGTTCGTTTATATGAATGTTGAGAGGAGTGGGTTCTAGAATTGATAAATGAATTGTGTTGTACTAAGCAATTATAAAGATTGTATGTGGAATGATTTTTTTCTGTTCCTCAAGCTAGCAGAGAAGAGTTTTCTAAAATTATTCTGTTAATTAATCTTAGTATTAATGAGAAACAGACAACTGTGGTGTGAAATAAGAGACTTTTTAAATTTTGTCCTCAAGTGATTAGTGTTGCCAGAAAGTGATAAGACTCTGTATGGTTTTTTTGGAGTATGTTTTGCACATTTGATTATGCTGTAGTTTTGCATTCAGGTCAACAGCTATAGCTGCATCACAAGTAATAAAAGTAGACCTCTTTCATATCCACAGTGTAGAATGTCCTCAGGGGACCCAAAGCATGACAAATGATTATAGCTAGAATTTTTGTTGAAAGCCCCCATCTCTTATTAGAGGCATCCCAGGCATTTGAGTAATAAAGTGAAAAGGGAGTAAATTTTAAGTGTCAGTATTTGCTATTTTATTCCTTTCTTAGATGAGGTAATTTATGATACTGCTTTCCATCCATCAAAAGCTTATATTGCAGGATGCCCTTGCCCCAAAGTATTTGCACCATACAACTTTTATTCACAATTTGTTTTTTAAATTTCAATTTGCTGTTGAATTCCACTTGCTTGCCAAGTCTTTAGTGAAGATACTCATTAAATTACATTTTCCAAGAGCGGTGTTTTTGTTTATATCTGAGGAAAACCAGAGTAACTTGATATATTAATAGTTCTGCCCCCTCGCCCTTTCTTTCTTTCAAATATATAAAGTGATTGACGTTTTAAAGGATAAATGAACTTGATACTAGAATTTTTAGGTAGGAATATATTTTCTGTGGATTTATTTATCGTTCATTAACCCATGTATGTAAAATAATCTTAAGGTCTCTTAATGAGAGAGATTCTATTTTCATGTTAATTCCAGTTTACATGATCTTAAGCCTTTGATGAAACCATATTGTCACTGTGTTTTACAGTATCTATCAGATACTCTCAAATTCACATAGATGTCTTTTTTAGGAGTAATTATCTGGAAAGTTCTGCATTCAAATTAAAATTCGTTTGAAAATATTACTATAATGGGTGCATCTTGCAAACATTATATTAAGTGAAAGAAGCCAGACACAAAAATCACATATTGTATAAGTCCATTTATATGAAACATTCAGACTAGGCCAGTCTATAGACAGAACAGATTAGTGGTTGCCAGAACAGATGAGGAGTGACTGTAGAACGGTACAAGTTTTCCTTTTGCAGTGATGAAAATGTTATGAACTAGGTAGTGGGGATGGTTACACAACATTTTGAATGTTCTAAAAGCCTGGATTGTGCACTCTCGAAATGGTTAAAATGGTAAATTTTATGTCATGTCTTTTTACCACAATTAAAAAATATGTTATAGTGATTGTCTATTTTATGTTGATATATTGTGTTATAGTTTCTGATCTCTCAAGTTAGTATTTGTGAAAACTTAATCTTCTGTTGTGTTTTATTTAGGTAAAATGATCCATTCTATGGTAGCTCATTTGGATGCTGTTACAAGTCTAGCAGTAGATCCTAATGGAATTTATTTGATGTCTGGAAGTAAGTCTGAACTTCTGTACTTCCCACAAGCTTTATAAAAGAATTGTTAACTCAGTAACAAGCTTTGTTCTTGTATTACAGGCCATGATTGTTCCATCAGATTGTGGAATTTAGACAGCAAGACATGTGTGCAAGAAATAACAGCTCATAGGAAGAAATTGGATGAATCAATTTATGATGTTGCTTTCCATCCATCAAAAGCCTATATAGCCAGTGCAGGAGCTGATGCCCTTGCCAAAGTATTTGTGTGAATCAACAAAAACTTGCATCATAACAAAAGGTTTTCTTGGACAGAAAGAGGGTCTGCATCACTGCCATCAAAAAGGTTACTGATATGACACTACATGTGATCTGCCTGGTGAAGGCTATTTGGGGCAGGCATAAATTGGTGGAAATCACATCTTAATGTCAGGCTCATTAATTTAACTGTAATTACTGTATTTTGTGGGACAAAAAAAAAAGGACTCCAGTATTTGTGGCCTGTACTGGATATGAACTGAGCGTATGTCTGTTTTTTAGGTGTCTTTAAGCCAATGTGGAGTCTGATCTTACAAGAAGACTTTTTTTTTGGACTCTGTGTGCTGCCTTAGGGTTAGGAATGTGGTGCTCTTGTTGGGGGAAGTGAGCTCCAAGAGTAGCTTTTTTTCATCTCTTAGTGATCTTGTGTTTATCAGTTGAATGACACAGATTCCCTTTTAAACTTATTTTGCTTTAAAAAAAAAAAAGAAAATTTAACTTAAAATATTTTAGCATTAGTTGCACAAAATGTTTGGATAAAATTCTAGTTTTTATAAGTCTTTTTATATATTTAGCCTGTCACAACAGTGCTCAAGATTGTATTGAAGTTTTTCTGCATTATACAACCCTAAAACACAGAGATCTCACTGACCCACTGCCCTGTAACCTCTTTCTTTCCTCCTTTTGCCTAATACAGCTCAGCTAAGTCCTTTCATAAAGATGCTAAATAACCTTCATCATCACATAAATGTCTTCATAAACCAAGGACTATTAAGTGTATTAAAATGAAACAGTGGGGTTTAGTACTCCAAATGAACTCTTAAAAAAAACTAATCTTGACATCCTATCACTATGTGATATTTTGTACATCTTACTGTATTTACAAGTTTATTTATCAAGGATTATCCATCTTGCTAATGGCCTATTATTTATTTCACTTTTTGTTGGTCTTTATATCCTTTTATTAATGTGCTAAAGGAACCTGTATATCTATTTTGGAACTCTTTGAATAGTCTAAAATAGACTAAAAATGGAATATTTTATAGTTTAAGTTACAAACCAAGGTGGTTCCCCCCAAGATACATATCTTGGTTTACCATGATTCCAAACAAAACTAACTTGTTTAAAATATTTGGAGTAAAATTTTATTTGCATTACAAATAGGATACAAAAATAGTTGAATCAGGATACAGAAATCTGCTGTGTTGGACTAGTTATCCCTGTTTTATTTTTTTAGATGTGCTTAATTTTATGGTGTAACTGAAGATTTTGTTTGTGTAATGCATGATTAAGACAATAAAGTATTTTTTCTAGTCTTCCAAAAAATTTTTCTGATCAGTTTGCGAGTTTTGATGAGTTTTGTAAGGTTTTTGTTTTACAAACTATGAATCAGCAAATTTTTAAGATTGTACCACATAGCAAACGTACAGCTGTTGAAAAATAATGTATATAAAATGCATATAATAAATATTAAATTGTGTACCTGTATGCTACTGTTGGCTACATCATTTTGTGTTGAATAATAAAGTGCAATACTTTATTCTCCACAATTAAACTAGGAAATGGAGATGATTTCTCAGTGAGTCCTTCATTTCTATGCTGTTTAAACTTTGTACTGCTTATTGGTATTCTAGTAAGATTGGAACAGTAACACTATTAAGAATGCCTTTCTAAGTATTCACCCCATTTGGGGATTTTTTTTTTTAATCTATTAAGTTAGGCAATTCAAAATAGCCAAAAAAAAAAAAAGAGATGCTGTTTTAAAATAATTTTCTTAGATATCCTTTTACTTACTAAATCCAAATTCCACTTAATGACAGTGTTTTTCTTATCTAGCCATACCTGTTTCCACAAAAAAACCCAAGAAATAAACTGCATTGAATAATAATTAAAAGTTTTCCTCATAAATAATAAGTATAAATATCTTAAAACTTTTCTTCAAAAAGGTAATACTCTTGCGCTACACAGAAAACCAAAAAAAAAAAGAAAAAAAAACAACAAAAAACTTGTGAAAAATTCTATTTGAATGCCTGCCAAAAATTTGAAAAATTTTGTTATCGACCATAAAAATCCAGGTGGCAATTTTAATCATTGTTGATGAAATACAAACTTTTCAGAACTTAAAAAAAAAACTTCTTGTTTTTCTGAACTGAACATTTAGTATGAACAAATTCAAACTAACGAATAAATTTAAAAGGAGTACTTTTCTCCTTTTCCGTTTTGAAATAATTTAAGAATAAGCTTTTCCAAAGTTAGTAGTGTTTTGACAGTTATTCTAACCCAATACATTACTGTTTAACTGAAATATGGTTATTATTGCAATGCATAAACATTCACCTCTTTTGGAATGTATTAAAACTGACTTGAATCAGAATTAGTATATATGTTTATTTTTCTCTTGTCTCCTTTGGTTGTATTTTCTCCATAATCATCTGGAAAGAGACCAAAGGGATGCAAAAAGAATGTCATTTTATTTGTGTGTTTCCATTTGTGACTTATGGGAAATTAGGTAGATTAATTTGACAAATAGTACTTTATACATAAGCTTTAAGCATATTTTTATATACAGACCGTAATATGTTGACTTCTTTCCTCAATATTGAATCATACTCTGCCTTTTATTCATATTTTCTCATTATTTCAAACTAGGTAACTTAAGTTATCCACTGAAGAATAAAATCACATTTGTTGCACTAAAGAGTTATATACGGGCTAGCATTTTTTAAATCTTGACATGCCTGCTGACACTGGATGGTAATATATCTTTTTTAAAATACTTTTTACTCTATCTCACTTAACTCCTTATCCTGATTGTTTACTTATAAAAATTATCGATAGTAACTTAAAGATTTGATTTCTGCTCTCTCGCTGTTCTTCCCTGCTTACCTCAGATGCCTCAAAAACTTTGTCCTGTATAAAGAAAAAACTTAATAGCCCTAGTGACTAGAAGCTTACTTTTCCAAGGGGTGGTACTCCTGAGAATTTGTACTCTTTACTGGGGAAAGATCATGTTAAACCCATTTTTGGTGTTTAATTAAAATTCTTGTTACGTGGCTGAATCATATTTGTAGCTTTTCATGAAGGAGGGGGGGAGAAGGGAGTTCTCTTAAACTCCATCTTAACAAATTTTTATGTAGTAGCAAAGGCATTTCCAGTCTTGCCTCTCCTACACATAGTCCTTTTATTCCTTTTACACAGGCTATAAAATTGTTAGACTGAAAAGATTTAGTGGAGAGTATTTTTCCAACTAATTAATACCTTTTTCAGGTCAACTGGTTGTAAACAGTTTCAAACAGGATCAGTGTAAGTTTGAAGGGAGGTGGGACGCAGAGGTGGATGAGGGGAGGGATGGGACCTGTCTTTAGAGAAGACAGGCAAGATGGGATGATAGAGCACCTCTGTGGGGAGGGGCTTTGGTGAATCATGTAAGTCATATTAAGTTCTGATGTTACCCTTTCTTAGAAACCAACTTCACAGCATGTTTAAGTAAAAATATTAATTGTAAAACATTTCTGTTGCAGCAGGTACTCAAAAGTACACTCATACTGTGTAACCTTGTAGTAGCTTTGTATAATACCCAGAACAGTAGGCATTTAATACATAATTTAAGAAAAATACATATATACTTGGTATTACTGTATGATTTAAAAAATTGAGATTGGTCTTTCCACATGAATTAGTGAATATAGAATTTTTACCATATCCTTGGGAGAGACACTTGTAATAATAAAAGGCAGTTTACAGTAAGTCACTAGCCATTTTATTGTTTAAATATTCAAACTACAATATTTTTTCCTGCAGTTATTTGAAATGCCTTTTTCTTTAAAACTAAATGTTTATAGTATAAGAAGTAAAAACTTTGCCAGCTTAACATTTTTTCAGTACTTGACTGATTTTAGAGTATAAGCCAGATATATCTATACACATATAAAATTAAGGATATAAATAGAAAAATACCAGGCAATCCTGTTATCTTGTTCAGTGTCATACTTTTAGTCATAAGTTATGAAAATACACTACAAAATAAGCTTGATACATGATCCAATATCACCTATACTTTTTAGTATGTGAAGTAATAGCTATTGTTGATGGGGTTTTAAAAAAACATCCACTTCAGCCAAAATATATTGAACTATGTTAATAGAGCTGTTTTCCATTTAGCTTCTCTTTTTATTGTATAGTCAGTACAGAATGATTAGAGATGTTGCTTTTGATCTAAGTATCAGATTATTTTATTGAGCTGTGGAATTTGCATATCTATACATTTAATAGGCATGTTAGAACTCATTTTAATCCAAGGTATCTCCTCTTTCCTGAGTTTCTAAGGGCCATGATTATGAAGCCTCAGCTGAGTGTTTTGAACAATTAAAGTATACTGTAACCAGAATGTAGTAGCTTTAAAGAAAGGCTTATTTGCTTAAAACAGCTGTTGATATATTTAATAGTTTTGTATCTGATCCTAGTATGCTATTTCAGTATTATGAGAATACAGTTTACACATTAGATCTCCTTATACTTCATTCAGTTGTCAAAATGTCACCATTATTGCTGGGATTCTAAGAAATCTCTACAGATGCCTCTAATGACATCGGAAACAATTGGTTCTAATCCTGTGAATTCTCTTGTGAAGAAAGCATGTGACTCCTTCGGTTTGGAAGCCATATCTTTTAGGTCATCCAGAGGTGCCCACGCCACACCAACAGAGAAGATGGTGATACCTACAATGGAAATATTTTAAAGTAAATTAAAACCAAGTCCAGCGTATATATGCAATTGTGTCTAACATAGCTGCAGAGAAAACTGCCCAGTAATTTCTAAAAATTTAAATCCCCTATACTGAAATGTTAAGTTTTTACAGTCATTGTGATGAGAGTGGCAAAAAAGTTTGCTAGCAAAACTTTTGGTTTTTGACCAATGTTACCACATAAAACAGATAAGTCATGATTAATGATAAAAAATATTTAAATAAAGGTAATATGCCAGAACATAATAAGCTAGGAATAGAAGGCAACTTTCTTAACCTAATAGAGTATCTTAAAAAAAAAAAAAAAAAAATCCTACAGCAAACATACATGGTGAAAATTTCTCCTCTGAGACTGACATAAGGAAGGACTGCCTGCTGTCATCACTTCAGTAAACACTAGAGTCATAGCCAGTACACTAAAACAAACAAGAATGGCACAAGAGGTAAGTAAAAGGTTAAAGTTTGTAAGGTTGCATTGTCTGGAAAATGGTGACTAGTCCTATGTGAATGATAACTTGTTTCTTCCATTTTGATTTTTGTGGTTATATTGGCTAACTGTTTAATAATCAGAAATTGCTAGTTTATAATCCCCCAAAAAATCTGGTGACAAAACTGCCAGCAAGAGATTTCTATGAAGATGGAATAATTTCTTCGAGTTTCATTGAGGCATTCCATCTGCATTCACTTGAGTTACTAGAGGGCTTTAAGTGCAACTGTACATTTTAGTTAAGGTGATAGCACATTAGTGGAATTCACCTCAATCCCAATTATAGAAGTATTTGTTTAGAAGATTCTTAGTATAGAATACCATCTATCTTCTGCTGGGTGAAATTTCCCATAACATTTTTGGCATTCATATATAGCTGCTCCCCTGTGTATCTAAGGCTTCATCTCCCTTCTAGTGGTATACAGTGCTAAGAGTTGTCAAGCTTAAGATACAAAGCAGGTTTAGGTGATGCAAAAGCCACTTGAAAGAATTTATAATTTATCACCACCAGCCAATCTCTCCAGTTTTGGCAAAAAAAAGTCAAAATATTTTTTCCTTTTCTCAGTTTCCTCACTACTTTTAAGTTCTCCATTCCAGTTCAGATTATTTAGCTCAGGCCCAGTATATAATTACAATTTAAAAACAAAACAATTATGATCAAAAGTCTACCCTGCTTTCTTTTGCAACTTTCCCTATCACCTAGGAATCATTTTCATGAGACTTTAAGTGTGGCATAACCTCCTAAAGTTTAATTTACTGTAGCCTGAATACACTCCTGTTAACCATAAATTAGTTCAGTAAGCTAAGTATTAAGAAGCATGACAGCAAACGGGTCTTAACCACAGGTTAGTTACTGATATATAAAGAATACTTTTTATAAGATACTAAATTGGAGCTTAAATTGCATTTATCAGTTCTGTCCTATTTAATAAAAACAGTATTTCATCAATATCTATAAAAGTACATTAGCAGAAGTGATGTATAGGAAGGAAAAAGGTTAAGTCATTAGGAATTGAGTAGGGAAAAGGAGGTGAAGAGTATACAAAAAAGCAAGATTGTTGATTCCCCTACTAAGTCATTCAGTTATGTCCTGAAAAAGTGGAACCTCAGCTTTTTGCTGGCCTATTTGATCTTAGTAACACATTATGCTAATGTCTTCAGAGGGTAGGCCTTTGCCAAAAGTAATATTAAGGTTGGGGTGAAGAAGAAAGGAACCCTTCTTATACCCTTTTATAACACTAGAGTGTTTTCTTTATCTCAAGAATACTTAAGAAGTTTAGATGGGATTAAAGTCTTACTGAAGACCTTAGGAAACTCATGCCAGGCTAAAACTTCACTAAAAAGTTAGGATAAATTATTGAATGGTAGATTCATGGTAGGTTACGATAAACTTATTATTTCAGAATATATTCTGAGTTTAAGCCAAATGTGAGCACCTGTGACATTTCCTTGCCACGTGATGTTCTCGTGGCAGTTTGTGACTCTGGCGCTAGAGGGCCTGGGTTTGGATCCTGGCCTTACCACTTACTGGCTGTGTCATTTTGGGGAAGTTTGTTTTCTTACCTGTAGAATGAGATTAGTAGGGCTGCTTTGCCAATTAAGTCAGTTAATAGTGAATAAAGCTCTCAGAACGACTGCCACACTGCAGATGTTTGTTCAACAAATGCTTAAGTTTTTATTCCTAAAATTCACTGAATCCCTCCTCAGTTCCCTCCCTATACAAAGGACCTTACCTGCATCATGTGCAGCAGCAGCAGGGCCTCGGACGTCATCATAGGACTGCCCATCTGTGACAATGACTAGGAAGTTCTTGTTGGGGCTCTCCCTCACGGGGCCAAACACATTTCTAACAGTAAAGGAAATGGCATCACCAGTAGCTGTTCCACCACTCATATAGCGGATGTTTCTGATAACAGCTAGGACGTTCTCTTTGGTGTTGTAGTCGGTGAAACTGAATTCTGTGCGCTGATCGTAAGTAAACTGAACAGCAGCTATCTTGGCGCCAATGTCTGAGATTTCAAAAGTCTTGGCTATGTTGGAAACAAATTCAAGCATGAGGCGGAAATTACTATCACCAACACTGCTGGAGCCATCAATCAGAAAGGCAATGTTCACTGAGTTATAACAGGTCTTGCTGCACATCATTTGCTCATGAGAGCAGAGCTTCTGTACCAGAGGCTTTACATATTTTGTGGTGCCAAACCAGTTGGGCATGTGGTAAGAGAAGAAGCCATTACTCCGACAGACAGCCTAATGGGGGAGATATAAATGACATCCAAATGGATCAAAAGCTGTTTCTTAAAAATTAACAAATCTCGAACATTCAAAAGTCAATCCAGACACGGGCTATTCAGCACAATGCTTATAGGTCCAAAATCGAATCACTATCACTGTAACAGAAAATATCCCTCACTACTTTACCTTATCAACAAATGCAACATCCTGAACCATTCCCAGTTCTTCAGGGATAGGTTTGGCCACAGAAACTATAAATACATTGACACCAAACTCTCTGGCCACAATGCCTGCTTCCTCGATGTCATCAGAAGGCCAGCCATCAATGAATACCACCACCACCTTGGGGATCCCCTTTCTCACTCCAGCATCTGATGTGAAGAATTTCTGAGCAGTATGCTTCAAAGCTTTTCCTAGAAGCAAATGAGCAACATTTACCACTGTTCAAATGACATTTCTATTTCCCTGTAGCAACTTGATGCCACTAAATTTAAGAATTACATAGAACTCAGTTCTATAATAGATGCATCAGATGGGAAAGTTTAATTACCTATCAAGCCGAGTTTTTGTCTTCACAACCCACTTTTCTTCCCCCTTCACCTCCCAGAAGCCTCACATTTCCTTACTGCACATCACCAGTCAGAAGCACAAAACTGACTCCTACTCCTGTGAATGCTCTCTCTATCTGGCCCCTTGGTGATTGATTAGTACCCTAAAGACTCAGAATAAGAAATTTCTCAGGGTTAACAATAGTGCTACTCTTAATTCTTTCTGCCACATCTGCATTCATTAGGTAAGTCTGTTGATCTGCCCTTTTTAGTATTTATAAACAGGTACTTTTCTAAAGTGATATCTGGCCAATACAATGCATAAAGATTATAAATCCACATTGCTTTAAGTTTTTAAAAAAAAGAAATACCAACTCTTTGATACATTGTCCGTTATAAACTGAATATTTCTGAGATGCTCAAATGCAGACCTAGCCAAGACTTTAGTGCCAGGAGGAGGAATTTCATATCTGCTTATATAAAATAGCATAATACTGTTTTACATATCTGATCACTGACACCCTCTCATACATTACATCCCAGATGTCAAAGTCTACTTACCTGTATTGGAATTACCCCCTCTGAAACCTACTTCCTTTATGGCAAACAAGACATCTTTGGCTGATGTAAAGTTTTTCAAATAAAATTCTATTTTGGGATGTTCGCTAAGTGGAAAAACAAACAAAAAATGTTATCCAAGGAGAAATGAAAAGACAAACAAGCAATGTTACATGCCTTAAAAATACAGTTTTAAGGTGTGGTGGCTCACACCTCTAATCCCAGTGCTTTAGGAAGCCAAGGCCAGGAGTTCAAGATCAGCTTGGGCAACAAAGCAAGACTCCATCTCTACAAAAAAAATTAAAAACCTAGCCAGGCGTGGTACATACACCTGTAGCTCTAGCTACTTAGGAAGCTGAGGTGAGAGGATCGCTTGAGTCCAGGAGTTCAAAGTTACAGTGAGCTATGATTATGCCACTGCACTCCAATCTGAGCAACAGAGCGAGATCCTACCTCTATAAAAAAAAAGTTTTGAAATCAGACAACACCCAAGTTTCTTTATTAATCCCACAGTATGTATTCAGCTAAGGCATTGTATCCTTACTTGAATTATTTGGGATATTTCAGAAATTTAACAATTTATTACATTCTGGGTAATACACCCAAAATATATCATATGTATAATCTTATTTCATCATTGCTCTTTGAGGTAGAAATTATCCCAATTATGTAAATGAAGAAACAGGCTCAGAGCATTTAGGTAATTTGCCCAACAAAACATATCTGCATTTTGAATTCATCTTGTGTGACTGCTTGGCTCAGGCCCCTGAGTCTAATGGAAATCTGCAGAGTTGGGCACAGGTAGCTAAACTAAAGTATTAATAGAAGGCAGCTGTGGGTAAGACTAGGTCTGCTTTAATGGGGAACCCCTGAAGCTCTAAACAGTGGGAGTCTATCTACCGAGGTTTCTCTAGTTGGAGGAGAGAATTTCAATGACACTAAGGCTAACATTTTAAAAATAGAAAAAGTTATAAGAAAGTGAATATTACAATATTCAATTTTTCTTATAAATGATAATTACATTTGCTAATCTTAAAATTATGTATAACACTCTTGAGATTTTATGTTCCATATTTACTATTAAAAGAATTTCAGCTCCCTTTTATAACCGCTCAGTGTTATTAGAGACCATGTTGAGGATAAACAAGGCACAATTTGTTGTGTTTAGTCTTTAGATAAGTCAGTATTTCATAAGTGTAAAAATTTAAAATCTTGGCATTTATCAGTAGCCATTTTATAAATCAAGATTTTTTGAGGGACAAGTATAACACTGATTTTATTTCTACATACCTGATAGAATGAATGTTGGGTCACAAAAATCAGATTTTATGGGTTGTTAACCTTTTCACTGTTATGGTCATTTTTCAACTATCCGAATTATGACTTATGAAATAAGTCTTATTTTTGCATTCTTAATAATACAGTCTATTCTTCTACTTAAATATGAACCCTTGACATAGTTGATTCCAGTGTTTTTTCCAAAACCGAAAAACTATGAACCAGTTTTTATCTTGAAAAAGAACTGAGTCAAATTAGCCAAAAAAAAAGTAGCGTTGGCGGTATAGTGGTGAGCATAGCTGCCTTCCAAAAAAAAGCATGTGATGAAAAGTACTGTAGGGGAATTTGCCTCATGAGATGTTAAAATGTAAGATAAAGCTATAATAATCAAAGCAGTGTAGAAAAGATACAAGAATTAGCATATGGATCAAAGAAACAGACTTGCCCAAACTTGTTTATAAAAGCAATACTGCAAATCAGTGGAATAAGTAATCCATTTTTTAAATGAGGGACAAATGGTTAAGTTGTGGAAAAATCAAAGTTAAATTTTCATCCCATGCCAAAAAATTCTACCTAAGAGCAGAGCCAATTCTGAAAAAATAACTTAAGAAGAAATGAAATATAAACAAATCTTTGTAATAGTATTGGTGACACCCTCATATACTGCTGATAGTATTATAGTTTAAACTGCTTCAACTTTCTAGAAAACAATTTCACTATTTATATCAGAAGCCTTAACAATGTCAGAACTTCACTTCTAGGAATCTAGCCTAATCAAATAATCAGAGATGGGCACAAAGATGATATAGGATGTTTATCACAGTATAATGTGAAATGGTGAAAAAATAATAGAATAATGGTTAAACATGCAAAAGAATATTATGAAACATTTTTGGTGAATATTTCTGATATGAGAAAATACTCAAAATACTAAATGATGAAAAAACAGGATGTAAGACATTTTTATAGTCTGAGCTTTTAAAAAAAATACATAGTCAAATATTTTCTTAAAATACTGAAAGGAAATAAAACAGTGATTAACTCTAGGGCACACAATTTGGGAAATTTGCTTTTTTGTGCTTTATATATTTTCAAACTTTCTATAATGAGCATATTATAATTCTAAAAGCCATTAATAAATATTATTTTTAAATGAATAAAATAAAAAGGTCAAGCTTCAGTTCTCCAACCAAGTGAATACAGAAAGAGCTAAAGAGAATGACACAATAGGGAGGGAGAATAGAAAGAGAAGAGAAATTGGGAATTGAGCAGAATAGATATGCAGGGGTGATTTGTGTGAGCAACAGGACTCTTCAGCCTATCTTCTGGTCCTCATATAGATAGCACACAATTCTCTACATCCCTTTATTCCAAAAAGGCAGCACTCAGACCAACTCAATCTGCCAAGGCAGTCTTAAATCCTGAACTTACAGTTTGGCAATCCAGTTTGTCCACAATTCAACATGCTTAAATTGAACTGAAACTAATGTACCTACTACAAGGATTAATAATTTGTTAAAATTCAAGATATCATTCAAATCTCCCATTTGATTCTGAATGTTTCCAACACGAAAAATGATAAATGTTTGAGGTGATGGATATGCTAATTACCCTGGTTGGACCACTGGACATTCTGTGTATCAAAGCATCACTATATACCCCATTACATGTACAACTGTAATGTGTACACATGCAGTTATCACATCAGTTAAAAAATAAACAATTGTAATGTGTACATATAATGTATAATTATAATGTGTCAATTTAAAAAATAAATACATAAAAAAAATCTCCTCCCATTTTAACAAGGTTGGTACCTGGCTTGAACAAGGCCCACGTGTGGTCCTTCTGTTCCAATTCCCAACATTAGAGCCACTTTTCCAACAAAATTCTTCTGTAAATTAAATCGGCGCTGCCCAATATTAAAACTTCCATCAATCAGAAATGCGATGTCTGCTTTACAGTCTGTGAATAGCCAAACAAGTCCTTCTGTTAATCTCATGAGGAGGGAGGGAAAATGCAATTTTCCCAAACAGATATCTTGATTCTTACCTTTATTGCCAGTTTTCTTCTCAGGTGTCTTCTTTAGTCGTTTACCTAAAATAAAGCAAGCAATTGCCATTAGCAAAAGGTAGACAGTTTCATAGCAAGAAGCCCACATGGGGAAAAGCTTATGATAAGGAGTGTCATTCTTAAAAAGATCTTTTTTAAAAAATTAATTTCTCATGATTTTATGGACTGGGGAAGCAATGACCCAACAAATAAATCAGGACTATAGTAGGTCTACATATTTGATATGCCTCAAATCCAGGACTTTGATATCTCAAACCCACAGCTGGTGCAGGAACTCAGAGTTAAATCTTAACAGTCTTAATTTCTTTGACTTTAAAACTGCCCCAGTCCTAGCAAAGGGGATCCCTGGCTATTTCTTGCATACGCTAATTCCTTTTATTCATATGACAGGGCAGTGATTAAGGGAATTTAATGAAGCAAATAAAAGAGGGAGAAATTCCTGATACTTTTACTTTGCTCAGTTCCTAGGCACTGCCTATCAAATCAGGGAGAAATGGTAGGACTTCAAGAGAACAATTGGTGGCGGAGTTCATAACTGAAAATATTAGGATAAGGTGAAGTATAAAATTAAATGTTTCCATATGTAATATAGCAGTAAACTTAAAACATATGCTTTGTCTCTCTTTACTATAAATTTTTAAGGAAAGCTTCTACTAACAACACATTTATAACTTCCAAATACTGTGCCAGGCAACTAGGAGGTAGGTTCCGTATTTCATACCTGTTGGTGGACGTGCTGTGGACACCGCTAGTCCTGTGGCTTCCTGGGTACCACTTTTGCCTTCTGTTAAGATAAAGGGATATTTATCTTTTTCTTCTTCCTCCTTCACTATCAAAGCACTATGAATCAAATGTGCTCTATAGGATGGTATATATAATAGGGCAATGGTGATTACAAGTAAAAACATCATGCTGCACGCTAGTTTCAGAGAACCAAAATGCTTACCTATTCTATTTTAAAAGGATCACCAAAAGTGAATTCATTAGTTTTTCAGTTTAGTGTTACTAAGGGATAAGTGTCTGAGCATTCTGACTACAGACACTTCCAAGTTTCTATTGTCATCATCTATTGCCATCATCTAACAGTAAGATTGTCTTTCTCTCATTCACCCAAATTTCGCTTGAGTGGGTAACTCAGTCTACCCCATAGTTGACCTCCTCAGTCTTGATCACAGGTTTTTCCATCAGAGTTAAAGAGAGTGGACTAAAAAAGGAAAATACGTTTTTAATAAGGAGAGGCAATATTTACACAAAAGTGAGAACAATGTAATTGTACCTACTAGTCACTGTGAAAGAAGCAGACCATCTAGAAAGCGTTTGAGACTGGATGCCATTGGCATCTACTGAGGAATAGTTTTCTCGACCTGGTAGGCTATAGACTCGCACAGGTCCCCCCGAGTTGCTGATTACGCCCCTGCAACACAAGAATAACAGCTGAGATACCATCCACATTTTTTTCAGGGCCCCCAACTGACTTACAGTGCCATGTTGCATCCATTGCTTTGATTAATCAAGAACATAGTTCAGCAGGGGAGTCATCTAAGGATGCTACTAGCCTTTTAAAAACTTACTTACACAGGAACAAAATCTGCCTGGGGAAATGGTTTTGTGCTGTCAAACTTCTTAAGTGTTAATAAGAACACACTTGTAGTATCCTGTCCCCTACAGCCCAGAGATTCAGAATAAAAGAGCACGAAACAATTTTCCTAAGATACTCACTTTAAATGCCTTTGGACTACATTTTTAAAAAAAGTATAATAGTGGCCATTTTACTGCAGAATAGCATGGCATTTGCCAACAATAGTGACCTAGGACCTAAGACACCTGACAACTCTCTAAATTCAGTTTCTTCATCTGTAAAGTGGACTAAGATTGTACCTACCTTGTACAGTTGTGGTGGAAGTTAAAACAATGGCTGACACCTAGTAAAAACTCACTAATATCTGACATGATTGGGAATATTTTAGAACCATAAGAATCTAGTCATCGAGAAGTAATGTAGTGTGTCTTCTGTCAGAAAGTTTCCCTCATGTACTTGGTGTTTCATGGATATCCAGGAAAACCTTTAAAATGTATCCATCTTCTATGGTCAAAATTAGCACCAGAAGAAAAAAATGTGAAGAGGAAGAGGGTCTAAATGGCAAAAGCAGGAAAAGAAACAATCATGCCTGCATTTCTGTCCCCCCGTGGCATGTTCAGGCTTACCTGTGCACAGCAGCCCCACAGATACTTGACACAGAAGCATACACTATGTTCCCAAACACGGAGAATTCCTCAAGAGGGCAGCCCCCTGGGCAGAGGACATCTACTTTCTCTTTCCTGATGTCCAAGCCTCTGGTAGAGCACGTGATAGCAATAGGAACTGAAGAGAAAGGATGGAATGTAATAAGCATTCTCAGGATTTCCTGGGGTGTAGTGGCAGGGAAACCAGAGTATGAGATTTAAGTTTTACTTTCCTAATTTATACACTTCTAGTTAAGAATACTGACTTATCCATTCCATGCCATTCCAGATGTTGGCAAGCCACAAATTGTTTTTCCAATTTAATCTAGTCCCCAACCACTATAAGAGTCTCATATGAGAATTTTCTCAGTTCTTAATCAGTTTGGAAATAAATAATTTAAAATATATCAGAACTAGAAAATAACATTAGTCACTGAATGTTTATTCTTTCTAATAAAAATTGCAACTCTAATGGCAGTGCACTGATAGTTGCTTGAAGTGAAGACAGTAAATCTGGATTGAGTCTTTGTGGAACATTTTCATAGACACATGAACAAATCTAAGCCATCCTGTCTTCATAAGACCGTTTATCCTAGTTATCCTACAAACACAGAGCTGTATGTAAAATCACATGTTAAGCTAACCAGTAAAAAAATGCTTAGATTCACAGAATGTGATTTAGCTCAATCATTCATTTTATAGATGAGGAAATTAAAGCCATGGGTTTAATTTGCCCCAGGAACATTCTACAACTCCCGAATGACAGGAAAAAGGGAAGTTAGTCCCTTCAGAATAGAGCATTTTTATCATAATTGAACCTGATTATTTCTGCTCCAGATCTGTCCAAAGAGATATATCAGGCAGTGAATGCATTTTTAGAAAGCACTGTTAACATTCAAGTTTTACACTGTCACACTAACTAATAAAGTTCCTACTACAAAAGATGCTAGGAAGAGACAAACCTTTGGCAACATAACAAGATAACATAATACAACATGTTAATTTGTCAATTTACCGTGGATATGAAATTGGGATTAACATTACCAAATACTATTTTCCAAACATGGGAAATTGTGGTTATCCAAACCTTTGTGAAACATACGTCAATGAAAAAATCTTTTATCCAAGGCAGAAGAATACCATTTGGTCATACTGCCTGCCTCCAACAGGATCCTCTTATGTGCCCTCTGTGTTGAGCTGTACCTGGGACTGAATATTCCATGGAAGGGAAGGAAGGATGCCAGGCACAATGCCCATTTCTTAGCTTTGAAACACTCCAGAGAGCTGAAGAAGTTAAAAATCCCTATCAAAAACAGTTGCCTCACACCTATTATCAAACAGCCTTAATCCTTCCCATTTTGGGCTCAGGTAGGGGGTGGCACTGGTATTCGGTGCAGTGACCACCTTTTTAGTTGCTAACATTGATGTTATTGGGAGTGAGGGTGAGAAATACAGCCGGGTGCAATACTTACCCTCATGTCTACTTTCAAGGAAAACAAAAGTCGATTTTAGAAAAGAGCTTGTCTTTTACATTGTAGAAAATACACCTATACCCGGACCTTTACTTGTGGAACAAACTTTGTAGACTTTCTCGCATACAAATTTGGACCTTAAACACTGCATTTTATAGGGGTTACACCTGGAAACACAGCTAGCGGGTCAAAGTTGGACAACGACATCAGCCTCCTTCACTCTTCGCTAACAGTGTGAAGTCGGACCACCCGGGAACTTGCGTGCTCATCGGTGGGGCTCAAGAAATATTCCTGCCTCGACCTCCCGCTGCGGCGCTTGGCTTGCTTAGGAGCTCCGCGGGGGGTGTGGGTGGGCATGGGAGGAGGCTTTCTTCTCCAGCCCTTGAGAAGAACGCCCCCGTCGGATCCCAGAGACCCCTCCCGTAGGAGAAACAGGTAAACCCGAGCAGACCGCTAGGCAGCGGCTGTAGCTTCAGCGCCCTGTGTCTCTGGCCCTCGGGCCAAGAGCCAGGGGCCGATCTGAATCTCACTGCTACCTGCTGGTCCTCAGCCCCTACTGTCACCTGGACCGACGCTGAAGCCCTCAACTCACCGGCTCCCTCGCTGCCCGCGGGCTCCAGCAGCAGCAGCAGACAGACACCTGCGGAGAGAGGAAAGCGCGAAGGCTGGCTGCAGCCTCCGCCCGACTGGGCGCGAGGGGCCGGGGCGCAGCGGGGGGCGCGTACCCACCGAGGCAGAGAACCGGGATCCAGGCTGCAGACATGGTGGCCGAGGGGCTGCTCAGACCTGGGAGGGAGGGAGAACGCGAGAGAGGCTTGCGGGGAGGGAGAGGCCCCCACGTCCTCACCACACAGAGACCCCCCACCTCTTCCTCCTCCTCAGAGCTCCCGCACCCCTGGGAAAGCCAGGGGCGACCGAGGGGCGGAGGACACCGAGGAGCTGCGGCTCCGGGGCCAGCACCCCGCTAGATCTGGAGGCGGCGCTTCGGCTGCGAAGCGAGTCAAACCCAGAATCGAGTGCAAGCCCGGACGGGGGAGAGGGAGGTCGCCAACATGAAGACGGACGGATAGGTTGGGAGCGACAAAGGAGAGCCCGGCCCGACAGGCGCCAGGGCGCCCGCGAGCCCGCGCCCGCCGCGCGAGGTCCCGCACCTGCGTGGGATCCGCCCGGCTGCGCCGAGTGCGGCAAGCGCGGCGCCCGCGGCCGCTATAAAGGCCGGGCGCGCGCATGAGCACTGCGCGGGGGGCACGCGGGAGGGGGCTGGGGCCGGTCCCCCGGGGCCGGGCGGCGGCCGCGCAGCTCCGCCCTCACCCCGTCCCCGCCTGGGGGTGAGGCCGGCGCGGGGGCGCCTTCGTGCCGCGCGGGGCTGGGTCACCTCGACGCTGCGTCGGTCCCCAGGGGTGGCGCGAAAGTCCCAGACGGAGCCCGGGGACCCCGCGGGGTGCGGCGTCTGAACCAGCGTGGGAGGGCGGCGGGGGGCGCGCCCCTGAGACCCGAGCCCACGGGCGGGCCGCACCGCGCTCCGGGAGGGCACGCTGCCCGACGTGTGGCGCGCCGGCCCGGCCGGGGGTGACGGTCCCCACGCGCGGTTCCCGACGGCGGCCCGGTTCGCCTGGACCGGAGCTGCAGAGGGAGCGCGGCCACCCCGCGCCTAGAGGCCTCGCCGGGTAGGGCTCCCGGTGCGCGCGGCCAAGAACAGAACTTCCCGCCTCTGCGCTGTGCCCTCGCTGATACAGAGTTCCTGCTTCTAAAGTCACACCAACCCGGTGTGGCGAATGCATGCCCTCCCTGCATTAGTTAGAAGCCCTGTCGGTGACGGGTTCCTCGGACCTTCAGGATTCGGTCGTCCCACTTCGAACCGGCCCCATTTGGTAGTGCGTGGCGTCCCGCGCGTGAGGTGGCCCGGACCCCCGGACAGCGGTTACATTAGCCTTTGCTTCTGTTTTAGATCAGGAAGAATCTATGCCTGATTTGCCTTTCCAAGTTCCCAGACCCGGTGTCTGTGGTGACTGCACAGAATCTCAGATTTGGTAACGAGTTCTCCCCGGTCCCTGACCCTGATAACTTTTTGTAGGTGGCCGTGGAGAAAGAGGAATTCACGGGGAGTTAGTGACAGACAAACGGCCTGCATGGCGGCTGAGGAACCACTCCCAGACCTAGACACTGATCTACTTTCTGGTACAATATTCTTTTTCTTCAAATAGGTTCATTTAGTTACAATGTATATGACGTAAAATCCATTTTAAGTGTACAGTCAATGAGTTTTAGTAAATTTATGGAGTTGAACAACCATCACCACAATCCAATTTTAGAACATTTCCATCACCGCCAAAATGATCCCTCCTGGCTGTTGTCAGTTGATTCCTTTCCTCATCTCTAGTCCTAGGCATCTAATCTATTTATTGTCTCTATAGAGTTGCCTTTATAGACATTTCATATAAATGGAATCATACATTATAGGACTTCTTTCACTGAGCGTAACGTTTTTGAGGTTTATCCATGTTGTATCATATATGAGTACTTCCTTTTTATTGTTGAATAGCGTCCCCATATTATTTTGTAGTGAGACACAAACAGACTACCACCTCCTGGAAGCCAGACAACTATCTTCCTGATTTGAATGAGTATTTCCACTAGGCAACTGGGGAGTGTTGATTTCATTCCCTTCATTACCTGAATGTCTTCTGGAAGGAGAGAGACCAAATAGCACTTGTGGGCTGAGAGGTTTTGGCTGCTTATTTTCATGGTTGCTTTAAAGATTTTATCCCTTCCATGGTAGAGAGAATTACCCTTTTCTTAGAAATCCAGTCATCTAGCCACAGCCCCTGGTATCTTCCTTGGGGGAAGTTTCAAGCCGCAGGACAATTAAAGCTGTCTTTTTCATGATTGTTTATTGAATGTCCTTAATCAGGGTTGGATAACCTCCTCCAATTCGGCTGGGCAAATTGTCATGATGCTATATAATTAGGAAGAGTTCGTGTACTGGAAAAAGGCTGCCACTCTACAGCTCAGCAGGCAGGTGCCCAAATGGCCAAAAGAGAGCAAGCTTTTCAGAACTCCCGCAGGGCCAGGCAGCCCTCCTGTGATGTAACTTCGCTGAGTGATTTGGCAGAGTCAAAACTATGCAGCTATTTCCATGATAGACCCTGAGTCTGTGACTATTAAAAAAATAAAGGAAATACCTCATTGGGTTTCATGGTTGTTTAGCCGAAGATTCATTTTAATTATTTTGTTTTGAAACATTTAAGAGGTTAGTCTTTATTTTATTTTTTCTTTTTGGAAAGGCCAACCAGGGAGGGTGGAGTGGGGAGGAGCGTTCCCATTCTCCGTTAGTTTGTACCTCATGCTCACCCATAAGTATATGGAGGAAAAGTATCTGAATTTAAGAGGCAACTGCTTCTGCTTTGGAAATATCTGAAAAAGAGGGAAAAGTCAAGTATAGGTTCATTCGATTTAAAAAGACAAATTGTTAAAATAACAGAGTTCTGTCTAATGTTCAATGGAGTTACATTTCAGAGTATTGTACTCCTAAGATGCCTAGTTAGTTTATCCTGCTTTAATTAAGAGCATTTGATATTCAAAATTTAGACTAACTCCTGTAGAGCAGTGGGTTTCTAACTGGGGTGTGCATTGGAATCACCTGGGGAGCTTTCAAAAGTACTAATGCACTAACGTCCCACCCTAGAGATTCTAATGTAATTGGTGTGGAATGGGGCCAGGGCATTAGAATCTTTTACAGCTCTCCAGGTGATTCTAATGTGTAGCCCAGGGTGCACAATATTTAGCTCAATGTTAGAGGTTAAGCTAATAATCCTAATTTTTCATTCTACTTTCATTATCTTTTCATCAAAACTCCACCTTTAATGTGCCTATTTTATTCCCCTGATAAAACATGGAAGCATCTTCTGGCCTGATGGTTGTTTAAAAATAATTCCTAACAGAAAGGTTGAAAACTTAATTTCAAAAGTAATTTTCCCTGAGTGTGTTGTGTGGTCACATTTCTAACTTTATGCAGAATGAGCAGGCTGCCTCTAAAACAGATACCCTGGGTGGCATTTTCAGTCTTCCGGTTGCTGCTGATAGCCCTAAAGAGTTTCTCAAGAATGGCATGGTTATCCCATCAGATTTGGCTCATTATCTACATAGATAAGCTCTTAGTTTCTAAGTTCCCTCTCTGTTCTGTTGTTACCTAGGTAGCAATCTGGTTACCCTGAAGTTTTTATATTTTTGTTTTTGGTCTTTTATTTTATTTTTAAAAAGAGTATCAGTCCTGTCCTGTCACTTATACCATTTAAGCACCTATGTAAACTGTTACTTAGCTAATGCAATACGTAGTAACTTGGTTTTATTTAAGGTATGGTGACTTTGCGTTTGTTCTCTTTTAGGAAGTGTACACTTATCCTGCAGTATCCTGTAAGTTTCTATAATTGATTACAGGGCTAACGCAACTTGGGGGTCTCATCACTTATGTTATTGAACCCCCATTGAGGTTTATTCTATACCTAGTTTTCCTGATTCTTTTCCATTGTTCATGTCTTACACTAAGCAAGCATGTACATCTAGCCTTTCTGTGTTTGATGATGTCTAGCAGCAAAATAAATGTCCACGGCTCTAAGGAGTGAATATTAAAAAGTTGATTCAGAGATAGCCCTGTGACCATTGGACCTCACTTTTTTCCTCCTGTAAAGTGAAAAGGATTAGACCAAGCAACTGGAAGAAACTTTCCTCTGATCACATTTTGTGACTGGCAGATGTTCCCAGGACATATATATAGGTTCCAGGGGCTGTGTGTCTTCCAGGGTTTGAGAGATGTTAGGAAACACTGGCTGTGCCAGCTGGCTCCCAGCTGTCCCAGGACCCATTCTTTCTTATTCAAAGTCTCTTGTTATTCACCTCTTACTTCTAAACTATGGCCTAGATCATATTTGCCTCTTATTTAAGAAGTAGTAATGAAGTCACATTGTCACTGGGACTTCCCTCCTATGGTAGGAAGCTGTGAGAGGGAACATAAATTAGTTCTGCAAGGCTCAACACACATCCTATATAAGCTCCTCGAGGGTCAGGACCTTTCTCCATTTTGTTCATTGCTGTTCCTCAAGTCCCTGGAAAAGTGTCTAGCACACTCAAGAAATATCTGTTGAATGAATCAATCAATCCCATCTGTCTTGGCATTTGTTACCGTGTGAGTTTTTTAAAAGAACATTTTTATTTTAGAACAGTTTTAGGTTTTACTGAAAAATTAATAAGATAGTACAGAGAGTTCCTATATACCCCACTCTCAGTTTCTCCTATTAGTAGAAACATCTTACACTAGTATGGTACAGTTATCACAATTAAAAAATCAATAGCGATACATTATATTACATTAATCATACATTTAATTAATATTATATATTATTAATTAAAGTCCATATTTTATTTAGATTTTCTTAGTTTTTTTTTTCCTTAGTCTTTACTTAATGTCCTTGTTATGTTCTGGGATCCCACCCAGGATACTATAATGTATTTAGTCATCTTGTCTCCTTAGGCTCCTTTTGGACTTTTTCTCAAATTTTCCTTGTTTTTGATGAACTTGACAGTTTTAAAGAGTATTGATCTGGTATTTTGTAGAATGTCCCTCAATTGGGATTTGTCTGATGTTTTTCTCCAGTACTAGACTGTGATTATTGTGTTTTTGGGAAAGGATCACAGATGAAGTGACATTCTCATCACATCATATGAAGTGTGCATAATAGTGATATGACTTATCTCTGTTGATATTGACCTTGGTCACTTGGCTGAGGGAGTGTTTGTCAGGTTTCTCCACTGTACAGTTTCTCTTCTGTTCTGCCTTTCCATGCTGTCCCCTTTGGAAGGAAGTCATTATGTGCAGCCTAACCTTAAGGAGTGGGGAATTAAGTTCAACCTCTTTTAGGGCAGAGTTTCTACATAAATTATTGAGAATTCTTCTGCATGGGAGATTTGTCTCTTCTCCTCTATTTATTTAGCTACTGTTTGTTTCTTATTTATGGCAATTCCCCAAAAGGCCGTACATTCCTGAAAACAGAAACTACTCCATATATTCTTCTCTATTCCCAATAACTGACACAACGCTTTGGGGTACAGAGTAGATGTTCAGTCGCCAATGTAGAGGATGGTCTACTAGCTTCCAGGCCTGGGGGTTTTCTGTTGATGGCTTATTCTTTTTTCTCACAGCAAGATTTGGGCCACAAAGTTGCCCATTTGGCTTTGGCACAGGTGTACCCAAAATGCTAATAATAGAAGTGATCCTGACACTGTGCCAAGCTCTTTATACACGGTGAATTTTTGTAGCATACCTGCAAGATGGATATTGTCTTGATTTTACAAACGGAAGATACTGATGCCCAGATTGATTAAGGTCAAATCACACAACTAGAAAGTGGAACCAAGATTCAAATCTAGGTCTCTAACGCCCATGCC